AGGCATGACTTCATTTTTCAAGAGCTACAAAGAACACACCTTCCCTGTGCAGCACATCTATTGTCCTAACATTAGTCACATAGTTGCAAGAAGCGACTTGAATGCGGAACCTGCCTGTTTTGAAGCCCTGTTGTCTGTTGGGTGACACTGCACAGAGGTAAGGATGGGGTGTGATTTTGCTGCTGTTTGTCAGGTTCAATATGTGTGTCAATGATCACAAAGTACTCTAAAGGTTTAAAAAATGCACAGCATGGCCTAACAAAGCACATTACCTAGGTTTTGACAAGCAGCGCAGCGACTGTGGTACAAAGGCCCAGTCCTGGTCCCATGCTCATGTTGGCAGCTGGATCTGCTCCCAGGAAACAAAGGTAAAACACTATTGACAGCTTTAAGATGAAATCTGCAGGAAAACTAAGCCATCTATAAAATCTAACATAAGCTTAAAAGCGCAACAGAGCATTTCTGATTCAACGTGCAGCACTTCCGCTTTCATCCGCCATCAGCAACTCAGTTCAAAGAATGATGCATTACAATACTAAACTTTATTTCAAAATACCTCTGCATGGTGTTTACACAAACAACAGTTCTTTACTAGACATGGTCGACCTCAGGCCACCCACACTTCAGCAAACAGGGTATTATCAATGTTTAACGGCTCAAGGTTAGTCGTCTTGGATGTTCAGAAATAAAAAGGTGAACATTCATTGTCTCTTCCTTGTTTGTCACCATCAATAGATTGTGGAACTGGACTCCTCAGAGCATGTCTTGATTATGGAGTTGAAACAGCAGTGAGCAAATCATTTATGATTTTGATACTATGATTAATTTCAGTGAGTTGCACACTTGAACTTGACACCTGCCATTGATAAGTTCATGGCTCTTGCATTCTTCAGTCACATGTAGGACGGCCTCTTAAATATTTAAATACAAAAATAAAAATACTGCAAGAATTAGAAGACTATTAGAATTAGTTTGGCATATCAATTTAATTCTCCACCTCGTGGCGCCGGGCGCTGCTGTTCCAAGAGGCGTTGTTATTTTTCAAGGTTTTAATTAAAAACAAGTCGACAGATACAGAAACTTCGGAAAAGGCGGAAACGTCACAGGTTTTAAGTGCCAATACCAATACATTGTGGCACTTATTTGCACAGATGTCAAAATCAAACACGAATTTATTTGCGATGAAGTAATTGCTGGAGAAACGGTTTTCACGACTCTGATTTTCAAAGAACGCCCATCAAGATGGCTATCTCAACTCAATTCTAATGTTAAGGTGGGACAGTCCCTTTAACCTGACCTTGGAGGTCTTCGGTTAACCTGAAACTAAGCAATTTGGTATGTCTCGCTGGGTCTTGTAGTGGACGAAATGTTCCTAATTCTCTGCGAAGTTCATGCTCAGTTAGGGCCGAAACGGTGAGGGAAGGTCACAGAGCCCCTTCATTCGGTCGAGGCACAGTCGAGGCGTATATAGAAAAGGGGTATGCCCGAGAAGAGCTGACTCTGAAATCTGAGGGATATTCTCCGAGCTAAAATTGGTTAAAAATCGCTAGCATGGCCTCCTTTCCAAGACGCATTACGTTTTCCAACACTTATCACCGAGTATGGCGACCTCTATAATCCTCGTCATATACCGAGAGCTGCATGGTGTCGCTATGAAGAGGGCTATGTCAGGTTAGGCTGTATCACACGGTCACCTATCGAAGACTGTTAGTTGTAGGTGTAACCTATTCGTTGTTCATTTCACAAATACTAAGAGCTAGGCGAAGTTTTTCCTCTCATCCCTTCATCTACACTCAAGATGTACCAAGTCTTTTCCTGAATCGCAATGCCGGCTTGACATGGCCTCGAGATACAGGTCATAGGTCAAAGGCCATTTGAGTCAAGATTTGAGTCAGGGCCATGATTTTTTTCAGATGTGTAAATGTGATTAACTCGAGGGTTTTGGAAGTTTTGTCGCGGTCAATCGCTTTTTACGTGAGTTTTTTTTTTGCGAAAACCGAAAGGAAGGGATCCATCTGGCGACCCCCTATAAGTGCAAAAGTTAAAACATAGGTACTGTAAAGCTGAAGCATACCGTAAAACTCTTAAAAAGCGTTTTATTTGTTCTTGATTTATTAATATACGTGCGTGCCTCGCTCTCAGAATCCATGCATTTTTCTAGACTCGAATAAGCCTTGGTGACGGATAGCCCCCAATCAGTAAAGACGCTTGTCAGAAAAGGCGAAAAGAAAATGTCGCCGCCTTACTAAAGACAGGCTGTGGAAAGCAATTATTGACCCACATTGACTTGATAGTTGATGTAGCTATTTTTTTTTTTTCTAAGCAACATCCATCTGCACCATGATGATAAAGTAGGTCAGAACGAAGCTGAAGAGGGCGAGCATGGTGCCCTTCTGCACGGTGAACAGACCCCATCCCTCGAAGGCGATTGGCGAGCGTGCTCTCTCCAGCAACATCTGAAGGAGGAGCCTCTCGCCACTGGACATACGACTGGCGGGCCAGCGGGCAGCCGCCAGCTCCTCGTGAAGCTGCTGGCCCTGCTGGATCAGCCGGCTGCCGGCAGAGCTGAGAAGCAGCAGGCGCAGCACCACGACCAACGTGAATACTCCAAATCCATACATCTGTTCGCCGAGGTTGTTTTTGTCCGAGTGGTACAGCAGCTTGCTGACATAGCTCCCCAGGAGGAGGTTGGTGGTGACGCACGCGTGGAGACTCAGAATCGGCACGGAGAAGAGCGCGTTGGCGTCCGAGGACAGCTGGCGGATGGATGTGAAGACATCTGTTAGCCATTCAAGAAGAGCGTCGTGGCTGGTGGTGATGTTCAGGTCAGAAGGTCGGTGACATGAACCTGGACGAACTACCCCAGTGTCAATGGTAGCGACTGGTGGAACTTTGCCGTCTCGAATGTTGACAGGGCGAGCCGAATGACTTACTGTAACCAAGCCGCAGGTGTTGGCTTTCTTCCCAGCGTCTTCAGCATGGCCTCCAGAATCCAGAATATCAGAAGATGTATCTGTGTCTCTCTTCTCGACGTTCTCTGAGAGTTGATCGGACGATCTAGCATCCAAAGCACGCCCTTGATTAGAAAATTCCCTTATGTACCGTCCCAGTCTTTCTTGAAACAGCGCGAGAGAATCAAGGAAACAGAACAAAACAACATCAAAGACCAGCTGCATCGTTGTCAATATGATTACAAACGCAACTTGAAGTGTGAGCGTGACGAAATACCACGGAGCTGGCCGCAGCATCTCAGGAACCCACCACGCCAATAGGTAATTCGGATGCTTCATTTCCTGCGAGCTAAAGAACCCTGTGAACCAATAGACAAGTTCAAAGGACGAGACAGCCGCAAAGACAATGGGGTGTCGCCGAACAGAGCTGAAGTCAGAGGGTCTGCCCCACCCTGAGGTGATCCGCGATAGCTTAGAGACATCATGAAGTAGTCGATGCAGCCAGCGCCGGTTGTACAGGAAGTACACGAACAGCAGGGTCGAGTGGGCGATGGTCGCGCTGCCCACCAGCGCGTGCAGCAGGTCCGTGGCGTTGTGGAGCACAGAGACCAGGTGGCCGACGATGGCGGCGACGGAGAGGGGGTAGAGGGTCAGCGGGACTAGGCGCGCGATGCTCCAGACGGACGGCACGTCCTGGTGCTCGACGTGAAGAGCGCTGAGCGTCAGGATGGAGCCGACCAGAAGGGTGTAGCGCAACACTGCAGAGTGGTCCCACATGCTGACGCGTTGGCAGAGAACTTCCAGAGCAGAAGTTCCAGATAAGTTAACGAAACTTGCAGATCTGACGGCTGACGTGAAACAAATTGCAAGCTGTTGGTTATACGAAGTCTTGTGATGTTGTGGTTTAGCCAGGTCTTCTTCCCGTCGACTTTCCTTCGCGAACTCACACCATCGAATGACTGCGAAAGCACTGATCAAGCCATATATGTGCCGGACTGCTGACCTGAACCTATCGACTGTCCCTTCCCCATGCACTTCGTACGGTCAAGCCGTCTGAACACATTCATTCACCATTGCATTCGTGGACAGGCTGAAGCCATTTTTCGGGCTTCACAGTCAACAAGGCAAAGTGTATTGGTCAGCAGCAGGCCTCAATAACTCAGTCTATTAACATTGCTGTCTCATTGATCGATAACGACCTTTGCACACCCCCTGAGGATCTGCCATTCTTGCAAAATGGTGCAAACATGTTGTGTCTTTTCAAGTAGCTGCCATGCTCTGGCCCGCCATGTTCGCCACCAGGCCTTACCTCCCAATGTGCTGTTTGTATAAGGTGCTTTCAATCCATTACTTCGCGTCAGGCTGAGTCGAACGTGCCTCCGAACTTGCCGACCTTGGAAGCAATTACAATAATGTGATGTCTCATACATGAAATTTGCTCTTTTTTGGCAGGCTTACCACTTCTATACCCATGATAGGATTGGTATTAGATACCCATGATATCGTGTATGAATTTACATGGCAGATACAAATCGCCTGATTTGTCAAAATTTTAAGCTGGTCTGGACCATATCTCTGTAGTGTATACTGAGGTGTACAGAGACATGGTGCATCTATATATCTTTATGGACCATATAGAGATATGGTCCGTATAGCTCTATGTACCCCATGCCTGAACTGACGTGTTCCTACGTATAATATTTTGATTTTTGAATGGAAAAATTTACCAGACGTAGGCCCTAGTGCGTAAGCAGAACTTATTGCATGCACCTTTGACATCACCGCCTGATCAAAAAGTTACGGGTACGGACTTTCGGGAGGAATCAGAAGCCAAAGCTTAGCGTGTCTCACATAGGTTAAAGCCACGTTTGGCCACAAGGCTGACGTCCACTCATCGACTTTAAACTGGCTACTGCTACTCCTACCAACCGCAAACTACCTCGTCAGGAGTCCCGTATGTCGAGGCGAATCGAACCCGGGAACTCAGAAAAAAAAACACCGGTAGTCTGACATTCTCTCAACCGAAGTAGGGGGCTGAAGTCCATGACATTGCCTTATAGAAGTAATGTATTTTGTAATTTAAGCACAAAAATACATCCACTTCTGCATTCGGAATGCAGCTTTGTAGTACATGCAGTCAGTCGGTCGAATTTCGAGATCGACTGCAAAAATACATCCGACCATTGTCAGCACGTATCCCCATCAGACAATGTCACTGTCGCTGCTCCTTAAACAGGAGGAAGTGCTCCATAAGCGTGCTGCGGCGGTGGTGACGGTGGTACCTGCAGGTCAGTATAAATTCCATGCTCAGCCATCTTCTCGTTCACCCATCCGACCAGCTTTGGCACGCTGGCGTACACTCCCGGGACTCCATCTTCTCCGCAGCCGATGCCCCAGGCCACGATGCCGACCTGGACGTACTTACTGGGATCCTCTTTGCTGGGACAGGCCAGAGGGGATCCGCCGTCTCCTCTACAGGTGTCCACGCCTGCTTCTCCTCCAGCACAGGTGAACGTGCGGTGAAGACGGAACCAGCGACCCAGACGCGTCTCCCGCAGCCGATTCTGGCACGTTCTGTGGGGCACAATCGGTAGGTCAACCTGCTTCATGATGTTCTGGAACCTTCCGCCGTGGAACTGGTCCTTGCCGAAGCCGGTAGCCACGCAGGAGGCCAAGTCAAAGTTCTCGTTTGCGGCGGGCAGGCAGATGGTGTCGATGTGCTGCTGAAGAACGACCGGCTTCTCCAGGAAGAGGAGGCCGACGTCGTAGCGCAGGTTGGCGCTGTTGAAGCGTTCGTGGATCTCCATGTCCACCACGCGGTGATGCTCATGCGGGAAGATCTCCTTGTCGTTTTGCGTGTCCCAGTCTCCGAGACGGACTGTTAGCTTGGCAGGGTCTTTCCTGTGAAAATAAAGCAGCACTCAGCATAGCTAAACGCGTATGTTGCTACTATACTCAGCTGAACACTCTAAATGGCACGTTGTTATGTTACAGAAAGCTCATTTTAAGCAAATATGGACCTTCAAATTCCAAAGAACACAGTAAGTCAAGCTGAAAGCTTAAACCTTGACTGCCTGCACCCGTGAAGATGACAAGATGGGCTACATCTCCATCTCTTTCCAGGAAGAAGACCAAAATTTTGGGAAGTTTCAAATAAACTCATTGTAAATAACAGGAAACACAATCATCGGTTTGGGCGCCCACAGCAAATAGCTCTATTTGCTGTGGGCAACTCTAGTTATCCAACTAATGATTGTTTTTGGCATCGGGCAGCGTCACAAGGTAAAGTCCTAGCCCAAGATGGCTGCTGTTTGCACTCACCCGTTGATGCAGTGTGCTCCCGTCATGATGACCTGCGGGTGGATCAGAGAGCAGCCGCATACGTATCGCTGGATGACCTGGTCGTAGTCGAGGAGTTCGTCCTCTAGTAGGATACCCATCCAGGGGAATTCGCCAAACTGAGATTCACCCTCCTGTGAGAAAAGGCAGATAGCATCGTCAAGTGCTGAAAACGTGCCGGGTATGTTTTAAATAAAATTATATAGTCAATTTTTATCTTGATACATTTTCATTTCTCATTGACTACAAACCGAAACTAACAAGTGACAGTGCGTATGAAACTGAGCTCGCTTACTCTCTTCGTTACTTGTTACTCTCTCTCGATTCAGTCCCCTCTCAAGTTATTTACTGTCTTCTATTAATCAAAATCGGACTGACATCAAATGCAGAAGAGTTAGGTCTAGCGAACCGAAACGGAACCTGCCTTGAATCCATCCAGAATGATGCTGACTCCCTCCGGGTTTCTGTGACCGCAGGAAGGCTGGTACTCGTACTCCGTCAGCTCTCCCAGGATATCTGGGTCCGGTTCGGTGAGCGGGACCCTGCAGAAGACGTCCAAGAAGTTGGGGCACTGCGAGTTCGACTTGGAGTCTTCGTCATCACCTCCGAATCGCATGTCGATAAGCCCGGCCCCGTCGGTAACGATATCGCCATCCTTACACAAGTAGTAAGGAACGCAGGCCCCTCCAGAGATCTCTTCGACTTCCTCGGAATATTGATCTTCCTCGCTTTCTTCAGATTCGTAGCCAAGCTGTGAAGCTGAAGAGGCTGATTCGCCAGCAGCGGCAGCCGAAGAAGCTGATTCGCCAGCAGCAGCAGCGGAAGAGGCGGAGTCGCCCGCAGCCGCAGCCGAAGAGGCAGAATCGCCAGCAGCAGCAGCGGAAGAGGCGGAATCGCCAGCAGCAGCAGCGGAAGAGGCAGAGTCGCCCGCAGCGGCAGCGGAAGATGCGGAGTCACCGGCAGCAGCAGCGGAAGATGCGGATTCGCCAGCAGCAGCAGCCGAAGAGGCGGAATCCCCAGCAGCAGCAGCGGAAGACGCAGAGTCGCCGGCTGCAGCAGCCGAGGAGGCGGAGTCGCCGGCAGCAGCAGCGGAAGATGCCGAGTCGCCGGCAGCAGCAGCCGAAGAAGCTGACTCGCCCGCAGCAGCAGCCGAAGAAGCAGAATCGCCCGCAGCAGCAGCCGAAGAAGCAGAATCGCCGGCAGCAGCAGCGGAAGATGCCGAGTCACCGGCAGCAGCAGCGGAAGATGCGGAGTCGCCCGCAGCAGCAGCGGAAGACGCGGAATCGCCAGCAGCCGCAGCGGAAGAAGCGGAGTCGCCGGCAGCAGCAGCCGAAGAGGCGGAATCCCCAGCAGCAGCAGCGGACGACGCAGAGTCGCCGGCTGCAGCAGCTGAGGAGGCGGAATCACCAGCAGCCGCAGCGGAAGAGGCGGAGTCGCCGGCAGCAGCAGCCGAGGAAGCAGACTCGCCCGCAGCAGCAGCCGAGGAAGCAGACTCGCCCGCAGCAGCAGCGGAAGAGGCGGAGTCGCTGGCTGCAGCAGCCGAGGAAGCAGACTCGCCCGCAGCGGCTGAGGAAGCAGACTCGCCCGCGGCGGCAGAGGAAGCAGCACCAGCAGAGCTGGCGGCAGCTGATGCCGCAGCGCTTCCCGCCGCCGAAGAAGCAGCGGCACCTCCGGAGGCACTCGATGCCGCTGCAGCGTCCTCACTCTCCTGGACGATGATGTCAGCCGACTGAGTGAGCGCTCCTGCGGGCATGCAAGTCAGTCCGTAGTCCGCTGCCTCTGCCACAGTGATTTCCTTGATGGTGTCTCCTCCAGTGCTGACGAAGTAAGACTCCTCAGAAACCGAGGCCTGCTCGGAGTGGGTGCTAGATGAGCCCGTCGATTCCTCCAGGAGGGCTCCTTCGCCGAGCAGGGCGATCATGTGGTCGACGTCGGGATTTTCTGGGTTGGAAGATCCCTCGTACGGCTGGGGATGAGCTGCTGCCAGCCCCAGGCAGAGCAGGATGATGAAGGAACGCATCGCTGCTTTCCCTGTCTGCTATCCCTGTGAAGAGAAAACGGATTAGTAATGAAATGCCGGGCAAAGAAACGGGGAAAAACTGAAGGTCTCATGTTCTGATACAGTGCAATGTTAGTAAACGCTGAAACTCAGCACGAACTGAGCACATCAGGTATTCCGACAATCGCTGCACCATATTCAAAACTAAAAAAATATGCATTGGCTGTGTCAAGTCTTGCATCAAGAAAGCTATAGATCTAATTAAAGATTGTCTATCTTAGATGATCAAGAACACACGAGGGCCGAAGCTTCTCTAGTTTTCTCAGTCCATTGTGTTACATTTCTCTGTCTTTTAATAGCCATATAAGTAATCAATCTTTACGGCTTTAAGAAGCTGTTTTTGGAGGTTCTTGAGTTTATAAAAATTTTGGGAAACATCGTACTCAAATAGACCCACAAAGATGGCGTTCGTGGACCGCTGGCACAGATCGCTCACACGTCAGGAATGTGTTGACTGTGATTCGAGCCAGACATAACACCGGCTCGACTGATTTGGACGATCCCTCGCTCAGTATTGTAAACAGAGCGGTGCGGGCAGCCCGGCAGGGGCACGTGCGCTCGGACTTTGTTAATGTTATGAATGACTGAAAATATAGCAGAGATCGGACTAGATAACTTTTTAACTAGCGCCACAGTATAGCTATGATTGATTCAGTTCCTTTGATGTGGCGTTCTCCATGCTCCATGCATAATGTAAAACGACCCAGCATGGGACAACATTGTAAAACAATAAGCGAACAGTACAACAACTTTGTACTCATAGCCTTTTACTTCATGGAAATAGGATAATTTTGCGAAAATAAGCTAAAACTACCTGGCAACCAACAGCATCTCAAAGAGAGTTTTTTTTCAAATAAATGGTAGGTGTGAGTGATGAGAGATATATTTTAGTGACTGGAAAACATTCAGTTTTTTTCATGGAATCATATTTCTCAAATAAAGGTCTTGTTGAAATATACAATATACATTGAATAGTGTATTGCTATCTGAAATTAAATTGAACATGGACGAATTTTTTTCTTCTTTTTTTAACGAAACATCGAGAGCAGGAAAACTTGCAAAAATGAAAACATCCTTATTGTAATAAATTAGAATAGAACTTAATACAAAACTGAACACAGTTTCCGGACTGAAATCGGGTAATACGGAGCATCTCATGAGGCTCATGAGTGTCTATCCGCGGATAGACACTCATGAGCCTCATGAGATGCTCCGTATTAGCGTAGCAGGTAACGCGTTACCTGCTCACGCTCTTCTTTACTGATAGGCGACAGAATTGCAATCCTCGCTGACTGATTAACGTTATGGTTCCACCATCTCAGAGACAATCAATACATCCTCAGAAACTCTTATTTGAAGGACTGTAAGCGAGATTTTGAATGCGGTGTCGGTAACTGTTTAGGAAATTTGAGGCTTCTGTGATCATAGTTTAGTTATCTAACAATGCTAAAATATTGTCGTAAACGGTCGTGAAATATTCAACTGTGCAGCACCTATTTTAAGAAGCATAATATATTTACACTATTTTGCTCAAAAGTGCAATATTTGTTCTGGTCTGAGGAAAAACTGAATGAAAAACCACACCAATGAATTCTAAACTTAATGCCATTCGAATGTATATCACAGACAAAAACATTGTATAACAAATAATAATAAAAATAATGTAAAGTCAAGCTTAAATGAAATATGAGCTCGTAGTATCCAAATAAAAGAAACTCGTTTATGCCCAGTGTAAGATATATGTTGTAATTCGCTCGACACCTCACCTGTCGTGGTCCCTGGGATGGCTGAGTGACCCGGTCCGGCCCCGTCGGACCGTCTCTCGACGCGGCCGATGGCGGCTCCTATTTATACAGCTACACTCGACAGACGACCGATTCCGGCGAGCGGTACACGCAAACCGTGTTTTCCAATGTAAACTGACGTCCAAAGTCTGGGCGCTTACTCGGTCATATAAACAGGGCGGGAAGACCAGTCACATCATTGGTCAGTGCTCAGCCATAGAGCAGGAGAGTGCTTGGAGAAACAATTATGCTTTTTTTAATACAGTCTGAATGATTTGGAGGAGCGAATATGTGAGGTCAGAGCCCACGCTAAAAAGTATTTGTTATGAAGATCCTGAACAATGATGTCAAAATCCGCCTCGGGAAATCCATGGTTACAGAAACGAACTTAGAGTAGAACGCATGACCTTTTCTACTCAAATTTCGTGTGGCCTGCAAAGCGACCACAGCCATTGACCCCACATACTCTCCGTCGGGAGCGAATTACAGGCGGCGAAACGACTCCAAACCAGCTTTCAAAACGCGTTTTACCGGTTAATTCAAGAGATGTACAATGGACATTCTCGTCAATACTGGAATTGATTCATGCACTGGGAACTGTCCATCTTGTTTTGGTTTTCTGCCTGAGCGCAGTTGTATTTCGATCAAATATTTATAGGAAAACAAAATGGCTTAAAGGTTTCCCATCAATTTATTTTTGCGGCTCATTTCAATGCTGTCTTAACCGTATGAAGCATACACGACTACAACGTTATATGTCCATGTTGTTCCACCCTTATGAAAATGGAAAGAATACTCGCAGACAATTTACACTAATGAGCGCTGAAATACTCAGCAATCTCTTCATTGACCCATCCGACCAGCTTCGGCACGCTGGTGTAGACTCCCGGTACTCCGTCTTCTCCGCAGCCGATACCCCACGAGACGATCCCCGCTTGGACGTACTTATCGGGGTTCTCCTTGCTGCGACAAGCAAGGGCAGAGCCACCATCTCCAACACACGTATCAACACCGGCCTCCCCTCCAGCGCAGGTGAAGGAAGGATGAAGACGGAACCAACGCCCCAGGCGTGTACCGCTTAACATCCTCTGGCAAGAGCTGTGAGATACCACGGGTAGGTTCACCTGCTTCATAACGTTCTGAAAACTTCCGCCGTGAAAGCGATCTTTCCCGAAGCCGGTGGCGACGCACGAGGTGTTTTCGAAGTTTTCATCATCTTCAGGAAGGCAAAGAGTGCCGATGTGTGGCTTCAGCTCGACAGGCTCCTCAAGGAAGAGCAGCGCGATGTCGTTTCGGAGGTTGACCCTGTGGAAGCGACTGTGACGCTTCACATGAACCACGCGGTGTTCTTCGTGTGGCAGGACTAAGGTTTCATACTCTGTTTGAGTGTCCCAGTCTCCCAGGCGAACGCTAAGGCTGCTCACATTTTTCCTGAAAGAACGTAACAGTTATTTTTATCATAGAGGACACCACTTATAATAATGCGGCCGCTTTTAAAAGAATCAGGTAATGAGCTGAGCTTGTGAAATCTCGAGATCAAAGTGTTGAATATCTAAAAACATGTCAACAAGCACTAGGTATTTTCAACTCAAATCCAGATTCGCACACCTTCCCATTTTGCACGCAACTACCACGTCCACGGGAGAACAGGCCACACCACTTACCCAATGACACAATGTGCTGCTGTCATGACAACCTGTCGATGGATCAGCGAACCTCCGCATATGAATCGCTTCACCGTGATGTCGAATGCCATGACTTCATCTTGCAGAACGATGGCCATCCAGGTAAATTCTCCAAATTTGGATGCCTTGTCCTGCCAATAAAATCATACGTCAACTGGCGTTGTGCAAGGGCATGGTGGAAATGTACTAGAAACCTTACTTTTACTACAGGGTGTCCCAGAAGTCTTGAAGCTCTTTTATTTTTGTCGTGTGACCTTGCTATGCCACCGATTAAGGCGAATCATGCCTCAAACGAAAGAGAATGAACTGAAATTTTGTATTTTCATGCGTAGAGCACCACTTAAGTCAGGTGGCCCCCGTTGTGAGTCGCACAAGATTGAGCACGAGAGATCACGTTCTTCGCTGCCGCCAAGATCTCCTGGTTTGCGAAACACCGTTGTTGCCATGCCCGTTTCTTGTCAGCTTCAGAGTCTTATTCCCTGAAGCGAGGGACATAATATTAGCGACATATATTTCCGACGGGTTGATGTTTGTTTTAGCCCCATAATAATGCGACGAATCAAAGGATTACAACGGGCTGTTGCCTAGCGTGCTCAAGCAGCTGAGCCTTATTTCTGTAATGGATGCGTGCAAACATGTCAGGAGACTTTCTGATCAGTAAATCATTATGTTGCTAATGTTTTCTCGGAGATCCAATGCTCTGCTTCCTGGCGTCTGGCTCGCTTCATGAAATAAGGCTCTGAAGCTGACCAGAAACGGGCATGGCGACACCGGTGTTTCGCAAACCGGGAGATCTTGGCGGCAGCGAAGAACGTGATCTCTCGTGCTCAATCTTGTGCGACTCACAACGGGGGCCACCTGACTAAAGTGGTGCTCTACGCATGAAAATACAAAATTTCAGTTCATTCTCTTTCGTTTGAGGCGTCATTTGCCTTAATCGGTGGCATAGCAAGGTCACACGACAAAAATAAAAAAGCTTCAAGACTTCTGGGACACCCTGTAGTTTGGCTTTTTCATTTTGTGGTGCAATTACATTCCGAGCTTACAAAAAGATATTGTTGGCATTCTGCAATAAAAGCATCTCATTGTGAGGAGACGAACCTTGAATCCTTTAAAAAATGACGACGCGATGCCTTCTGTGTTGCGACGCCCACACGGCAAGAAATCTTCAATGACGTCATCCCCTTCCCTGGGCTCGGTAAAAATTTCCTCCACCTGGAAAGGAGTCTCACAAAGCACATGGCCGTAGAGTGGACATGCTGTATCCTCAATCAGATGTACTGGAAGAGTAGGATTAAAGCGGTTCTGCTCTCCTGGAAACTTCTTGCAGCGATGAATCGGTACGCATGTGCAATTGGGACATGCGATTGATAGATCAGCGGCTGCGGGAGAACCAATAACTTCATCAACTTTATCCGTTACTGGTTCGATTAGTAAAGGTTCAACGTCGTGGTGGTGCGTAGTGGTAAGTTCATCAGCGGCAGTCAGCTCGGTCTCGACAAATTCTGCTTTCATGGGTGTGCCACGAGCTGCTGGGGTTCGTCTCAAGAGCGAAGCCTCCCTGTCGCTATTGTCTGCGGCGGCAATGTTTTGAGCTCTGGCATCATGGCTGAATATAATGACGCTCAGGATCAGCCAGAAGAGAAGCTTCATCTCAGCTGATGCTCAATGCTGGAACAGATCGGAGAAGTCTGACATGTGTGTTCAATGTTCATTACCTAGCGGCTACGCATATGTGCTTCATGCTGCGGAGGTGTTGGAAATAAGTACCTACAGTTAAAACATGATCACAGTTTTACATATCAAAATGAATGAATATGATGGTTGAGCCGGCAATACCTATTTTATTTAAAAAATATGTTTTTAAACTCCAGCCATCGTTCGTAAACGGATCTAAAGAAGAAAACACATTTAACTGATGCCCAACCAACATCAAACGGCAAACGGGATAAGAAAAATTGCAAATTTTGCCACTTTCATCTACCGACCAGCATTAAGGTCTTGCCCTTTTAAGGCCTGGCTACACTATGCGTTTTCTGCGTGCGTTTTTTGCGAGTTTGCGTTTTTTGCGTAATATCGTTCTAGAAAAAAAGTTACAAATAATATAACTTTTACATTAATTGTGCATTAGTCATATACAAAAGTTAATATAATTCTTATATTAACTAAAATTTGATATAAAAATATCAGAAAAAAAAACGTAATATCGTTTTTTCTTCTAGACCCATACTACGCAAAACACGCAACCCGCAAAAAACGCACACAGAAAACGCATCGTGTAGCCAGGCTTTTAAGGTATTGATAGTCCTTACCTGTCAACAGCTTTTCAACGTTCTTCAGCGCGCCTGTCACCGCAAATCCGTGAAAAGCACGTATGACCTGCCTGATAGCTGATTTTGCAGCCTGAACAAGCTCAGCAGTCAGAACGCTAACGACAACTGTGCAGCTTGCAACTGTCCAGTGCACTCAGAGAGTCCTGATGGGTGCTGCTCGGAGCCGGGCGAGGTTGACGGTGGCTGTCTCATGGGACAAAGGGTAAACACAGCGGGCGAGGGGACCTGCTGACTTCAGAGAGCTGCAGCTTTTCGAGACACCTTTCAGCTCGAAGAGAAATCCGGGAACATGAAGCCTTTTTAACGCGTGCATTGCATCATCGCTGGGGAGCCAATAGCCGATATCTTGTGGAAAGGAATAAGGATTTCAACTTTGACAACTCCTTTCCTCATGCATTCGGCACTTTTTTTTTGTAAATTTGGATCCCGTCTGGGCATCGTTTACAACTGAATAGATGGATGCTTCGAACGCTAAAAGCTGAAAAACAGATGTCCATTTGTTGATTATGCTGGAAACATACGTTACATGCTGACCTTGGGAACAATCGATTCTCTGGAATGCTTTTATTTATGTGATCGAGCTGATGACCCACCAGCCTCGCGTTACGCGGAATACTGACGTCACTGCTCAAACGGACGAGCCGTTATTATATGACGTCACGACCGACAGCCAGCTGTCCTGGTATGACGTCAATGGCAACAGTCTGTTCTTATTAGATGCATCACACCCCAGACTGTTATTCCTAGATTGAAAATTGGTTTTTGAGCGAGCAGCATATAATCTCTAATCTAAAGATGGTACACAATAGTGTAAGTTGCAGATCATTTTCTCACAGTTTTATCATTTAAAAAATGTATGAAAATTGCAAGAAACTTATTTTCTTAAAAAATACAAAAAACATTCGGTTAGAGCAACTAAATACTTACCTAATGAATTATCATCTACACAAAACCACAGTGTTATATAAATACACAAAACAACGCAGCTGCCAGCGCTCCAATGTAACGGCCAGGAGTACAGCTGTGGATATTGCCAATTATGGTATGCTTTGACAATGGCATGGATACAACCTAACGGGCACTACTTGTGTTGCATTCATGAAGAATGGTCCTGAGAAAACGGAATGATCCTGCTCAGGTTCCTGACGAATTTATGAAGTCAAATGGGACGGGATTTAGCCTTTATTGACTCACAAACTTTGCTAATGCACTCCCTCGCCACCTATGTTGATCAATCATGACGCCCCCATATCCCTGCCAGCTTACCTCCCCGGTTATAAACCCGTCACTGTTTACAGTCTATAAACCATACCTGTCTATCTACCTGCCAATAGCAACAGCGTCGCATCATCTCCCAGACACAGACAGGCCCTTGTTGCACGCTGCTGGGAGGTAAACTAGAGGTAAACGAAGCAGCAGACGCCGTGGAAGAAGGGCACCGATTTTCAAAAGATCACCTGCGCAGGTAGTGACAGGTTATTTTGAGCTTTGGGCTGAGGAACGAGAAGGCAGAGGGAAAGAGGGCTGCCCGAGAGGTCAAACAGTCGGGACGCTGGCGAGCTCGGGTGTGCTAGAAAAGTGCTCTTCCAGTGGCGTTCGATAGCTGGAAGAAACGGTGTCTTTAGTGTTCATTCTACTTGTATTGGACTATTGTGATTTGGGAATACATTGTCTCAGGTAAGTAAATAAAAGTAAGAGCCTAATGCAGGCTGGTTTCTCTTCCAAAAACGAATTCAATCAGTGAATGACTCCCCGAATGAGGTGGGTCTCTAATAACGATTCACGGACTGTAAATGCAGCGGAAAGCATGGATTAATTCCTACTTTCGTTAAGTCAATGATTATACGTATACGACACATCTACCAACCAGCCCCCTTATATTTTTTCTTCATCTTATATTTTATAAAGTAGCTGGGAACTGCGGGCTCTGATGCGATATGATGTTACAATGTGTCTTATGGTGTTGAATTGTTGTACATTTGACTTCGCCTGTCAGTGGGGCTTGTCCCCGCTGCAGGTGATTTTCGAAAATAAATGGATAATACATAAATAAATAGATAAGTGACACAACTAGATAAATGAATAAAAGCCCCCACCCCTACAGGTCTCCACGCTAACCGGAGATGCGTCAGCGCTGGCATCGTCTACTGCTGGCCCTACCGCTACTCCTTCAACTAGCTGATGTCGGCGTCTGTCTGCCTCGACAATGGCCGGGGTTCGCCAATCACAATCACCTCTTCAAGCCGTTTAAACCAAAAAGGGCTCGGTTTGCTGCCCCTCTTCAGGGATTCTCGAATATATTTCAGGTGAGTTTATGTCATAAATATTGACGCACGGCCATCGCATTTTTTTCTGATTTTGTGGTATGATTCAAGGAACGTTATGCAAGAATATGTATTTTTTCTTGGTATGTTATGGGTCAATAACTGGTTTAAATAGTATTGTATTGTATTATATTTACGATCGTGCGCGATCCACACATGGCGTGGCGATTACTGCCCCGAGTCTGAGTCGGGTAATATGCTACCAGTCATTCAATATACCCGCTCCAGCATGTTACCGATCGATTTAGGTAAATTACAAGGTTTTAAACTAATGCCAATGACATAAAAGACCCGTTTTTCAGACAAACGGGATCAATCGGTGGCCGGCAAATGGATTTCCGTCAATGCAGACAAAGGCTTGGAATGAGTATCCGGGGGCACCACAACGGCTTCAGGTCAGTGTCACGTGTTCAACGGGTCAAGGTCAGGTCAGGGAAGGTCAGAGCATGCAGTGGTGTTGGAACGACTGGTCAAGGTCTGGTCAGCGAAGGCCAGAATCGGTCAGTTACGCCACACGAACTATTAGAGGGATGAGATCAGGTCTGGTCAGGTGATTTGAACCTCCGAGGTAGTTACATTGTAGGTCAGTGTAAATCTTAGTTACCTACTATTTATGTAATCAAACCTAGCGTTTCTGTTGGTTCGCTTGTGATGAGATGTGCTTTGAGCACAGGTGAAAACGCTTGTCCGGAGAGGCTGAACGCTGTTCACCATACACGAGTATAGATGACGTTACGATCGCATGCCTCAGCCTCGAATTAAAGGTAGTGTGCCAGCTTTCCTGGACCGTATGGAGTTAATGGCCCAGATAAGGAGAACCGGATTTTTAGAACTTATCCATACCTTCAAAACTCATGGAAACGTCTTAAATTCTTCAAATTTTGAGTACCCCAGTGCGAAATTCGCCCCGACGGGTTGTCGGTCGTACCCCAACCACATTTCACACCACTATGAACAATAAATGCACACACTGAAATCGCTATTACCGATATGCTCATCCAATCAAGTTTCGATAAACCCGTTCATCATCAGCTCCTGCGGTTTCGAACACGCCTGTTAGGTGGTGCGGTAGACCGCGCCCAAAGCCAGGGCCCCGATAACGTGAGGTAGCCGAGTCAGGGCAGCGTGCGCTGACCCAAGCCGGAGCCGCGCGTCCTCCCGGTGTCATGTGATAGCCTGGGGCTGCCCGCGGGGATGCGGTAGACCGCGCCCAAAGCTGCGGCCCCGGCTTGGGTCAGCGCACGCTGCCCCGACTCGGCTACCTCACGTTACCGGGGCCCTGGCTTTGGGCGCGGCTTCTGCTCATACTTTGTGGTGCGGTGGTGGTGCGTCGGGCTGCGCGCTCTGACTTCGGCCAAGAAAAATGCGTCAGCTGATCATTGTCATTTCTGCCACTTGCGTGTGGTGAAATGGGGTCATTACTTATGAGACGGCTTTTTCATATCAATTATTTTACATAAAATCATATTTCAAACCATAAATAATGTTCGACAGCCATATAAAAGAAACAATACCAATACAGGCTTACAGTTTAAGGCTCGACATTGTGTTGTCTACGATTACTGTTAACGCCAGACCCCTTGAGACCCTAATTTTTCGCGATTACTTTTAAATGCGTGAAGGAATTTCAACCAAGCTCAGGACATGGCCGTTTCAAGACAGGCCGAAACTTTTACAATTTAGATATTTTATTGCCATTTCAATATTTCAGGCACTTGTCATTGACTCGTAATGTTAACTGTTTTTCCATCCTGGATAGAGGCTTTCTACGTCATATGACATTAGGCTCCGCCCACGACTGCGGCATTGACCCGTGCCCATCAGCGACCTCTGTACAAACGACACCCCTGCCATCTGTTAAGGACTATGAATTTCGCTGACGCTTCACGTGCTATGAGTCAATTGCAGCAGACGGTCAAGTAAATGTTAGGCTCTTGTTGACTCTTGTATATATGACCAAGAGGACCATCACTCCTCAACCTACTACTCAGTCGTGCTTCGAACAAACGTTAACGATTCCTAACAAATACGATTTTCGATGTAGGGTATCTGTTTGAAATACGAGCGAGCCGTATGATGTGAAGCTCAGGCAATTAACTTATTATTGCGTTGTTCGATGGTTGCATAGCGATGTACAAATCGGCAGCTACTTGGTGACATCCGACATCCCATTATCGCATTATCTGCAACGCCATAGGCTTTAAATACAGGTGAATATTTCCTGACCTTATGTCAGTTATATGCCATCTGCCCGTCATATGCAGCTTATATAAAATAAAATAAAAATATCAGCGAACATATCAGCATTGTAGAAGCAATGCGCATTGAGCATTTATGACTCCTTAGTCATCATGTCGCTCTCTGGGCACTGTCAGCCAAGACGCTACGCACAACTCCGCCGGCTTTCGGCACCGCTCGACCGTCGCCCGTCCCCGCTCCCCGCCACAGCGAGAGTGACCGCGCGCCGGCCCGAAACCGCCGCAGGCCAAGACCACAGAGGCGGGGCTTAGCTGTGACGTCATAACGTATCACAGACTGACTGGTGATAGCCTCTACACACCGGATGAAAATCTTGCTCGAAATTTAACATTACGAGTCAATGACAAGTGCCTGAAATATTGAAATGGCGATAAAATATCTAAATTGTAAAAGTTTCGGCCTGTCTTGAAACGGCCATGTCCTGAGCTTGGTTGAAATTCCTTCACGCATTTAAAAGTAATCGCGAAAAATTAGGGTCTCAAGGGGTCTGGCGTTAACAGTAGACAGCTGATAACTCATTCCCGTACGTCGTATGGTCGTAACACTATAATGACCTTTGCTTATTGTCACATGTGCGCCGCATTCACGATTGTTGCCGACGCCTTTATCAGGTGAGCCCACTACAGTTGTTATACATATCTAAAAACCGATAAACTTTTAGGCGAAAAAGGCACTATTCCAGGCCCATTTTTGATTTTTTTTGCGATATTAGGTAAAAACAGAAGCTTCTTATCCTTAATCCTAGGAAAAATAAAATGGGAAATCTTTCAAAGGTGGCACACTACCTTTAAGACTGAATGTGTTTTTTTCTGAATGAATGAATGAATAAATGAATGAATGAATAAATGAATGAATGAATGAATGAATGAATGAATGAATGAATGAATGAATGAATGAATGAATGAATGAATGAATGAATGCATGCGTATAGTATGTGTATTCATTTGAACGTCTCTGTTTCAGCCGATCCCGCTGGCCCGTAACCACTACCACCACGGCTACCTCACTGCCTCACCGAGTCCCGCTCCCACCCTGCCGCCGCCGACACGGCGACATCGATTTGTCCCTGCCAGCAGCATCCAGTACGGCAAGGTAAGTAAGGTTCTGTTCAGTTTTGACTGTCTTATCATGCTTGTCGTGACGGCGAATGACTGATTTGTCGTTAAACACTCAAGGAAAAACGGTTAAATGTTATGAGTATGATGAGTGTGTACGGGAAGAACATTCAGACACAGACAAGCGATTTGGTATCAGGGACAAGCACATTCTCGCATGTATGGGCTTTGCAAGCAAATCTTTTATAATTTTGCCGGCGACTGGCACTAATATGTCTATCAACTTGTCCGTCAAAGTCTTCAGATAAAGTACCACATTCTCGTTTGTCGGCTGTCTCGTCGACTTTTCACCCTCTCACCGTGTGTTTTTCATCCCCCAGGTCCCCACTCACTTCATGACAGACGCTGAACTCCACGGTCTAGTCTGCGTCCCCGCCTCGGCTCTTGGCTCAGCGCTGGCCGAACATCGTGATCACGTCACGCACCATCGTGACGGCAGTGTCACCACTCACCGCACGGTGGTGGCTGGTTCGGACGGCACCACCAGCCACAGCACCAGGATCACCAGTGCCGGACGCAAGGGGACAGTGGTGGAGACGAGAACAAATTCCAGCTCAGGAGTGCAGAGGCACCGCCAGAGCGTTCAGGATACGGGCACTGGACTGGTGCGGACGTCAACAGGTTAGTGAGGGTGCTATCGCAGAATCACCGGTCAAAGACCGTCCTAGGCGTACTTATGATTCCTCTACGGGTGAATAGCCTCGCCATAGGGTAGCGACAGCGCGAGGAATAACTACTTCTGGGCAGCAAGGGCCCATAGGCTAGTGATGAAAATGTGAACCTCTTCAAGTCACTATAAGAAATAACAGTGCTAACAAGAGAAGCGAGTGATGGCAACGACTTTAACTGCAGTCCCCATATGCTTTCGTCCTAATCACCGGTATATATTCGGCAGGTTCGGCGTTTTCCGAGGGCAGGCCGGGCCTGCCCAGCCACGCTGACGTCATAACGTCTTCATCTTCTGAGGGCAGCAATAGCCAATCACGGGCCTCGGCCTCGGGATATGACGTCAATGGGGAGCCTCTCCCAGCCAGGTATGTACTGCTCATCGCTGTTCCGTTGGGTTTACGATCAACTGTACGAGTATGCATCAGATCCGTTCTCACGTAGTAAAACATAGTTATAGAATGTCACATTGAAATGATATATTTCTTATAAGTGCATAATCTAGCCAACAATAATGTTTGTCAATGACAGATTGCTTATGCTGATAAATGTTTTCTAGCTAGGCATCTTTACGTACTTCTTAGCTGAAAAAAAACTCACGAATGCTGGCGAACTACACCAATGCGGATTCTCACACACATCGTTGGTTAACCATGAACTAAATGCCAAATTGCCCTTGTCGCCAAAGCGTCCTTCATCATCAACTATGAGCTGAATGCAGCACTACTGACTGACCATTGAACAGCCGCATAGCTAACGTTTGTTTCTTTTCCCAGGTCGGTCTCGGAGTCAGCCAGCCAAGGTCTGGGTGGACCGAGTATCCCGGTGCTTCCTCCTATCGAGTCGCTTTCCTGGCACCCTTCGGAGGTGCCAAAAACAAGAATACTCAGAGGTCCCCTCAGGTTCTCCGGTGGCCCAGGTGGAAAGGACATCGGTGATCTTGATTTCTCGGCACAGTATGATGCCGGTCCTGGTGATGCGGAGAGTGAAGAGGATGCTTCTTCGTCAGAGGAGGAAGCAGATCCAGAGGATGATGACCAGGAGTTGGAGGAAGATGAATCATCTGAGGGTGAAGAAGAGTCCCAAGAAAATGACATTGATTCGCTGAAGAGAATTGAGGGCGAACCGACTTCGTCGTCAATCGACTATTTAATACCACCTTACTCAAGTGAACCAAGCTCGCCTGGTGACAATGAAGGAGCTACTGATGACGATGACGCTGGAGATGGTGACGTTTCCCAGGATGGCGACGCATTGGAACAACCCGAAGACTCAACGATGCTCGGGGACGACACCAAAGCACAGGGCGACGGAGATGAAAGAGACGACGATGATGACGATGATGATGATGATTAGTTACGACCGTCTTCATACGTTGGCTTCCTTGTGGCAACCAAGGTGTACGCATTGTTGAAGTTGTGATGCTTGACATGATTTGTAGCTGCGTATTTAATCGGTGCTGTGAGCGCTTTACACACACTGAGATAGGTCTGTTTTTTATGTCTGTCCGACTTCGGGCACCGATTTCGTATAGCCCTACTTTACGCCGATAAAGGCTTTGTGCCGTGATATGCAGTCGATTTAGCTTGGATTTAGCTGTAGTCAGTGGCCAGATGGTGATAAAAGCAAACAATACCTACTAATTGTAAAAGCATCACGTAGCATGACTGGAATGTCCGAATTGTTGTTGGTGCTATTAATTTCGACGCCGGAGCTTTGGCGTTGATGTTTGCTTTGTAACTTTTTATGCTAGTACATACATGTGATTGTTTCTAAATTTGTTTGCCGTAGGAGAACTTTCCAGAAAACATCAGGCATATTCACGTTCAAATCATGTATTTTTCACGATATGGACGGATGATCGATCGACGCACTGTGCTGAGGCTGCAACTTCCACAGAACATTTATCGTCAAGATACAATACAAAACTACCAGAGCGCACACATTTTCCACAGGACCCAGGAAAGATTCCACATTTTCCATTCCACATTTTCCACAGGACCCAGGAAAGATCATAAAATCTGACGACCCGATGGAGCTTAAAAGATCATGTGATGCTGCTTCTAAAATGTGCGTTGACATAATGTATCTAGAATATATTTTATGCCATTACTGATATATTGAAAGCAAGCTCACCTCCGTAGCGCTAGCTATTACAAAACGAACCCGCAACCGGAGTCCCCACACAGCTATACCTAATGCCTCAAAGTTCTTTCCACTAGCCAGTGCGTGCACTATCAGCCAATTCACAAGCACCACCCAAGAGCGTGAAACTCTTAGACTCATGTGATCACCGGTGGCTGCGGCTGCTTCAGCTCCCAGCTCAAGATGAATCCGAAGACCTACGGCAGCGGCTGGTGGTTGAGGATCTGGTTGTTGATCCAGGTGCTGAAGTAGGTGACATCCACGTAGACACCGGGAACGTTGATGGTGCCGCAGCCGATGCCCCAGGCGACGATGCCTCGCAGGATGTATCTGGAATGGAGATTGGGAGGTAAGTCAGTCGAATAATAAGTTGTCAGCATCAACGCACAAACGAGACCGAATTTAGTGCGAAGTAACAGAGACGTGTATTCATGGTGTTTAATGCTGATAAGAATTCCCTTGACGTTGTACCTACGGGACACGATTTTCAAACTGAACTTCTTCATGAACATGCAACTCAACGGATCTTGGATAGGCTGAGTGTTACTGTTTGAGATAGTAAGAGTGACTGATGTGATATTTCGAACTGTTGTTGTGAATTATTTCTGGGGGATAGTTCATCCGTTTAGGTCGTAGACTTTTCTGTGTGGGCAGGTTTCTGGGGTCTGGGTGGGCTGTTTGACCTGTCTGGGATACTGAGCTGTCTAACTGTCTGGATATCTGGATATCTGAGCTGTCTGACCTGTGGGACCTCACTAACCTGTCTGGGTTCGTGGGATCCGGACACACCAGTGGAGATCCTCCGTCTCCAGTGCAGGTATCCGCACCGTTTCCTCCAGCACACAGAAAACTGCGGTCCAGGATGAACCGGGAACCGAGACGGGTCGCCCTCAACTGGTTCTGGAAACACAGCAAACAGCTGTTCAGAGCACATAAATCAGAGGAACTGTTTCCAACTCTAGGCAACTAACAATGAACCGCAACTAAGTGCTATTCAATGTTATTCATTCCATCCTAAACGTTTGCCTATTTTAAATTTTTAAGCATTGACTTTGACAGAAAGCGAACAACTAGACTGAATAATGCATTCGGGGTGATTGTTCAGGACAAAGGGCGCCGAGAAAGACCTCATCAATGACTTCTATCGCCTAACAAGTCCAGCAATCCCTGGCCGCCACATGTCCGTCTACTGCCTCATAGCTCCCACATCCACATCCACATCCACATCCACATGTTCTCTGGGGATTGGTGGACGTCAACACTCCCACGTCCACACGTCCATGTCCACGGCGCATACCCTCCACCCACAAGTCCCACATCGGCATGTCCTTCCTAGACCTCCTCACCTGGCACGTGCCGTGGTTGACTAGTGGCAGGGCGACCTGTTTCAGCACCAGCTGGAACTGGCCCTGCTCGAAGCTGTCCTTGCCCCAGCCGGTGGCGAAGCAGTTCTCTCCGTACACTGGCTGACTGTTGGCCTCGGGCAGGCAGATGGTGTCGATGTGCTCCTGGAGGTGAGAAGGGGATGGCGTCTTCCAGTTAGTGTTTGCCAGAAGTGAGATATGATCCCCCATGTCTGCAGAGAACCCACGGACTGCGACCTGAACGAACCCCCGTGGATAGCTCAGTCATCTTCATTAGGGCTTAGATGCAAAGACTCTATCCGCACTCTTCAAAAGTAATAAAGTACGTTGAGACTTGAACGTTTCGAAACGGAGTCATGTCGCTCCTGGCACATCAGACAATGGTTCGTTATAACGAACCATTATAGGACATGGCTGTACTGGGCCCCGTACTGGTGACCGACTGTGATGCGCTGAGTGCTAAGGGTTGTCAAAGACAATCAGCGTTGTCAGGGTTGTCAACGACACCGGCGAAAGGTTCGACTCGTGCGATTGACGTCTCCTGGCTTAGTGCGCCCTGTTAGTTCACCAGATACCACGTACCTGTAGGGGCACCTCTCCGTTCAGGAAGAGCAGCGCGATGTCGTTATGCAGGTTCTGGCGGGCGTGGTTGTAGCCTTCGTGGACCACCACACTGACGACATCAGCGTCCAGATGGGGGTAGAACTCGGTAGTGTGCTGGGTATCCCACTCACCCAGACGAACGACAAGGTTCGTCTGACCGTACACGCAGTGAGCTGCCGTGGCGAGAACCTGAAATGGGAGTGAAGTTAGCATCGCACTTCTACATGTACCGAGTTGTAAGACTTGATATGTATCGAAAATCAATATGATCTGAACTTTGCGACACCAAACGGTAAAACGTCAACATGACAACCATATGATAAACGATTAACATATTTTATTACATAGGTACAATGCATTTTATCGCATTTCATCTTCTTTCTTTCATTTTTTCTCAGCGCTCAAAAATCCACGTTTCATCGCAAGTCTTAGATAGGTAATGCCTGAGCAAGAAACTCTTTGGAAAACTTTTGTCGATAAAGCAGAATAACCTCTACCAAGCTAAATCATTTGACATGAGGACGTGAAATCTTAGGGACGTGAGAGCGTGAAGACAACGGATATGACGTAAGGACACATCCGCGAAAGCGTGACTTCCTGTTCCTCCTCAACTTCGAAGTGTCCTTACGTTTGTACCGATGAGGGACGCTCCACAGAGGAACACCAGTTTGCCTCCGTCCTCCTTCAGTACAGCGGCCATCCACGGGTACTCGCCAAACTGGGCCTCGTTCTCCTGAATACCTGTCAAAAAGAAAAACATCAAAAGCTTGTTAATTTCGAAAGAAGTTCAGTAGTTAAGTTTATCTTGCTTTTCAAAAACCATAGGATAACAGCAAGTGGCGCAGCCGCTTGTTTTCTCCTAAATTAACGTAAAATACCACGTCGTGCCACGTACAGGCGTGCACAGACGTCTCCTAACGCCACCTACCGACAATGCGAGCGTGGATTCCGAAGGCGTTTCTGCGTCCGCAGACGGGCTGGTAGGGTTGTTTGATGGGCTCAGGGATGACGGGTACCCTCTGTGGATCGGCACAGCACACAGACGTGTACTGCTCCTTGCAGTCCGAGTGCTGGATGTGCTGGTCGCCACCGGTTCCCCCGAACCTGACGGCGAATCAGTGGAAACGTCAGGGCGAAAGTATGGCCAGAGGCGGGCGGACATATCAATTTGAGCACCAAGACGGTTTGACGAGTACGCCTAAGCACTTGGAAAATGGCAGCACACGCTAAAATGTTATCCCACCCGGAATGTCAATCTCGGAGTCAAGCTGAAGACGACGCTTAATCGCCGTAAATTGATTAGTAAGCACGCGCAGATACTGAACAGTGAATAGCTACGCATGAAATGAACGCTGCAAAAAAATGTGGCAGTACATTTGCTTCGCATCGATCTCTCGACTCAACCATCTTAGATAAAAATTGCCGTTGTTTTTGTTTGTTGAGTCGTGGTATCATGTCATCAATAGCATGAGTGTGATGTGACCTTAAATAAATGCCGTCACTTTCACATCAACTTAAGAGGTCACCTGAGATCGATGACGCCGGCTCCATCAGTGACGATCTGTCCATCCTCACACAGATAATAGGGTACGCACGACTTTCGGCCGTTGTCACATGGAGGGTACTGCCGACACACATGCAGAAACACAGTTATTACACGGGAGAGAACATGCAACGCAGATCAGGGAATACCAAAGTGATATGAGGGGTAATGGCCTGGCGCGTCGCCAACGTGGGGGGCCCAAACGTCTCAAAACAATTAGGCACTGTAATATATTGAAAGGTAAATAATAAACAATAGATCATGCCGATAAATTACCTATATAACATGAACGTTCATTATATGTATTTCACAATAACAAGGTAAGAAATCCGAGGTAGCTTATCTCTCGGTCAGGAGGTACCTCTTGTGCCCAGTGGAAAAGAGCTCTCTACCCGATCATTGTCTGAAATCTTACCTCTCCATCCGCCGGGGGTCCTTGTCCTCCCCCTTGGCCCCCAATCTGCGGGTCGACCCCGGTGCTACCGCCCGTGCCGAGAGCTGCATCGATGAAGCTCTGATCCTCGGCGCTGAGCTGGGCACTGGCCACCCCCAGCCAGGCCAGCAGAACCACGGCGCAACGCATCGTGATCGGCCGGCGTCAATCTGGAATGGAGTGATGTGGTCAACTAGTTATCTAGCATGTGCTGTGCTTAATTTAAAAAAAAAAATATATGGTCGTCGAAGTTTTAATCTAATTAAACGAGCAAAGTTTACACGTTTGATATGCGATATCAGCAGTCAGCACACAATGAAATACCGGTGAAGATGATACATTTTGCGAGGGAAGGGCTCGAATTATCTTCTTGTGGCTCACATCTCGCCAAACTTTGGGGCTTTGTCAGCTTCCGATTTCTGTTCAATTTGCTCTCTAACGTACGGTTTGATTTAATTGTTATCGTGCATGCTGTATGCAACATAAAACATTCAAATTGTCACATAGAATATTTCTGTTTGACAGTAACACATCTTCCAAAGCTGGCTCATGATTCGTTACCACAGCCTTAGCTTATAGACTTGCATGCCTGAGCCCGGCCGTATGTTAAAGGCTCGACACCTGATTTGCAAGCCTCCCTTCCGTGACGTTAATTTTGTAGTCGGCTCGAGACGTGTGCCGCCTAATAGGCTGTAATGTTGCGTGAGACGGGTCGTTCGTTGGACTTCCCTCCCCTCCCTTTTCAACATATTTTCCGGCAAGGTAGGATACAGTTACATAATTCGGTTTACTCGAAAACAAGTTTAATCTCGAGCTGCTTCTTGCAGCCTGCTTGTTAAGGAACACCGTTTGAAAAATGAAGAAGGCTATTCTAACGTGAAGAGCACCGTCTGAGGAGGAATAAATACTCTTGGGGAAGAGAATACACCGTACGACGGTAGAGGAGCAACGTAAAACGAAAAAGATGCATCGTTTAACGGGGAAGGTACGCCTTTTAACGGAGTCGTCATAAAAAGACGCCTCAAGCCTTTTAGAGGACACCGCTGCCTATATCATTATCATCATTATCATATATCATTTGATCAGAGGAAACATGGCGAGAGGCCAATCGTCTAGCATAAAGGAACTAGTTCCTTCAGAGATCAATGTTAACCGTCTGATCAATAGGCAACTCAATGTTTGCATATATTTGCATGAATAACATAGACACATCGGTCACACAGGTCATGCCACAAAGGTAGGCGGCAGGCCTCTCAAAATCCCAAAGCAGGCCTCTAGCTGATAATCATAAAAGTTCCTAGCAGAAACATTCCATTGTATAGGATACGTCAACAGGGGCTCCGTCAGTGCCACTAAGTAGCACAGGTAAACTAGCCATTGTAGCTGTGCACTACTTATCGCTGACGAATATAGATGACGTTGATATGACTATATGTATCAGCATGTCACTTGTAAGTATGCTTTACATACGGCGACATTTACTAGTACGTAGCTCCAAAAGGAAACGCTACAGACAAAAACGAATTTTAGCGCGTACCAAAGATCGCCTATCTTTATTAAAACTAGGCAACTAGCCATATTTTTACGTCTACCTACACTGTCTCTGGAATCAGACACTCGCATGTCGCACGTGAAGTCTACCGGAACCCTCGGCCGAAGGCCTGGACCCCTGGCCTGTCCGAGAGACCGGTTTGAAGCGCGGATTTTCCATCATGCCGAGTCGATCTGCCGAATGCGGTGGCGTTGACCTTGGGAAGAGCTGCCGGTACAGCTCTGCCCTTGCGTTACAGCGCTGGTCAGGCAGTTCAGAACTGGCTTCCAGCTGTAGCAGAGGCTGCTCTACCGAGTACCGACAGTATATTGGAGGTCAATAGCGCTCATACTATACATAGATTGACTGACTATCAAGCAGGGGCCGATTGAAGAGAGACTTGTTTAAAGGGACTGTCCCACCTTTGCATTAGTTCTGAGTTGAGATAGCCAAGTTGGCGGCCAGGTTCAGAAACCACTATATATCCTGGTCGCAATATCCTCAGTTTCGTGGTATTAAAGAAATTCGTTCCCTTCATTTGAAAAGTGGGCCTTAGCTAAGGCCCTATCTCTTAACTATTAACGGCCATTTGATGACGTCATTACTCATTTGCCTTTTGAACGCCTGTCACACATTCAAGTGAAGTATCACTTGATTTACGAATAAGCCAATCAGAGACACTCTTGTTATTGTATGAGCCGCGTCATATTTGAGAGCAAATATAGTTGCTGCCAAATTTCCCCTCACATTGACATGAAGTAAATCCTTCATTACGTCACAGATTCGATATAATTGACGTCACGATGAAGTATGAAAGTCGTAATATCTCAAAAAGTATACGATGAAAACGCGTAAAAACTTGCAGAATTCGTCAAAATATCATGAGTAACATTTCCGAATCCTAAACGGTACTTTTTTGAAGGTGGGATAGTCCCTTTAATATTCAACACGAGTTGAATATTTTCAACTACTGCAGCGCAAGACAGGATGGAAGTAGGCAACATGGACAATGGACATGAGCATAACATTATTCATAGCGGATCCTGGCAATTGACAAATGACAATGCATTGTCATATCCCGGCAGTTGCTGGGGTATTTCGCCACCCACCATTTGCTGGGGGGGGGGGGGGGCGTTAAACGCCCCCAGCCGATAACTCGAGAACCAATAGGCGCAGCGAAACGCACGAGGCGGCAAACGAAAGAGCGCGACGAGACGCTTCAGATGAGTACTTTAAAGTTGAATTTTGAGGTCACAGGTCGGGTCAAGGTCAGGTCAAACACCTGAAATCGGGCTTTCAGTAGCATGGACTTCAGGGCTTCGCAATGGGCGCCTCTCGTCATAAACTCTGTCAAAACGGTGCACAATCCATCATATAAGGCCTACAAGAGTGTCAGCTCCATGTACGGGTCAGTCAAGCATAGGTCAGGGTCAAGGTCAGGTCAACCGGGTAGGCACATATCCCCGAAAATCAAAACTGATATTTGCAACCTGTGACACATGTTTTATAGGTAATTTGGGGCGTAGAACACGATGGTGACATTCATTTTATCATATGTGTACGTGTTTGCCTCAAAAAGTTGAATTTAAGAAATGCATGTATCATGGTCGTGAAGTAGTCACGAAAAATTGCCAAGATTCAGTTCAAGATTATGGAAAATGCGGAACGATAATCAATAATCGAAGATAGCCATTTCATTGATCATGGTATTGGCAGTCCAATGGCGTTTACGGCATGTCTGTATGTCTATTTTGTGATTTTATATGATTTTTTGAACATATGCCGTTTTTGGTCGAAAACTCAGAAATCATGACGTCACTAAAACCTCGATATCTCAAAAATTTTCCGACCGATTTTTTTGAAACTTTGTCACAATAAACCTCAATCAATTCCCTACAGGTACCCAAAATTTGGCGCGCCTGCGGCGCGCCGTTTTTATGCTATGGCCCGGCGAAAAAAGTGGGGGCGTTTAACGCCCCCCCCCCCCAGCAACTCGCGGGATATGTGACTACACGTGGTGACTCCCTGACCGCCATTAGCTATCTTTTTTCAAAGGTGTTACTCTACTGAAGTTTAAAAACTACCCAAAATGCCTAGCGAATAGATGCAAAGCTAAAAAGGACCTATCGAAATTAATCAAATATTTCAAAAACTCACGAATTGTGCTGCCTTTTGTGTTGGCGTGTAATTTAAAGAAAGACGACAAAATCACGTCCAATTCGGACGTTGCGGGAGGGAACATTATTCCAGATTGAGATGCTCCCTCCCCCTTGGATAAACCAGTGCTGAAGGACTCAGGCTCAGAGGCAATTAATTACATTGTGATCTCCAAGGTAATGATATGATTGAAGGTGATTACGGGAATGATTTACTTGGAGTGCCATGAAATGAAAGCAAGGGATGGTAAATATCAACAACCGTACAAAGATATTCAGGCGATTTTAATCTGTAAAATTGTCTCATGCCTAGATCGTCGATCCTTTTACCAGGTAATAAAAAAGGTAACATCGATTTACTAGCATACAAGACATACCTAGCACAAAAGTATTATCTAAAATAAATATCGTTTTTGTTAACTCTTCATAGCATAACTACATCATTTAAGACATTTACCTTTACGCACTACTTACAGCTCTTGAGTACTATTATTTATCTGATAACACACGAATCAGCCACATGCTTACCAATGCTGAATGCATTTATGCAGAATGTCTTATGCAAAATGCATACCAACATTCTTCTTAGCAAAGCATTGTGCTTTGATGCCGCTACTTCAATTTGGACTCAAGTCAAATGAACAACGTTTTGGGTCCAGCTATTTTCTCCGGTAAAATATTACCCATAATCTGAGTTTTTAAATTTGTTGGATGGCATGGCGAAAAGCATTGCAAGATTCATAAAGAAGAGTGGAAATGCATTTTCGAAAGTAAACAATTATCCTTTCCATAAGCTACCTAAATCTGTCGCTTTGTGTAACTTATTAGACTAAAAAAAAAAATGCGTATTGCATGTGAATGAGTGCATGAACGAAAGAATAAACACGGAAACGTGACTCCTGATCAGTGACTCACACGCCGTACAATACCACACGCCCTCCCAACTCAGTAACTCAGTAACTCACCGGAGTTTCGCTCCGCTACCTTTCCTCACTCCCCGCTCCACCGCGCTCGTCCGTCAAGTGGCGTTGAAGTCTCCGGCCGCAGCGCCGCCTGGCGCGTGCTCTGTACCGCCGAGCACCGCCCCCGGCAGGCTGCGCTTCCAGTCACGTGACCGCTGACGTCACAGAGGGGACCGGCGCTTCTGGTTCTATGCGATAATGGGGGCTTAGAGAGGATTTACTGAGAGTGTGCTTAGGACTTACGAGCAACTAAGAAAAACGACACTACGTTTTATAGAAATGACGTAATGCACTTGTCAAAGAGGAACACAATGCTTAGTTGTCTCGCAATGACAAAATAGGATGATCTCCCTTTCGAGAGATATGTTTTAGCTGATCAACCATATAGCCTTGGATCAACCTCTCGCCGTTACACCGTTTCGTGCTTCTATCCTCAGGATACTGAAGTCCTTCTCCTCCGGCTCTGAAATGGTCTCATTTGGACCGAAAGGGCATAACCCAACAAAACAAACAAACAAACAAATCTCGCCGTTAGTTGTTTTTTTTTTTAGCGATGCCTTTTCGTAAGCAAAAGGTCTAAGTTTTCTCAGATAAGTGGATGTAGTTTTCTGACAATACAGAGAAACCACCACAATTGGACAATTGAACGCCAGCAGATTGCGACCTAAATCTAGTTTTTCATGAACTCCACAGTTCACCGTTCCATGCTTCTATCCTCAGGATGCAGAAATCCTTCTCCCCCACGCCGCAACCCCCCTCCGGGCTGGACAGGCAACTTTATCTCATGCGGGCTGCCATAGGCGTCGCCAGAGATTTTCGGTTGGGGGAGCAAAATAAACTTTTGTATTAAATCTTGCCTTTCCCCAGTCGTTACTCACTCGTTTTACATACCATTCGACGCGCAATGGTGCGAGGAATCCGATGGTGACAAAGTTTTCCTTCTATCTATGACATGTCATTTTTTTACATAAAAATGTGAAATTTTGAAATTTGTCGACAAAAACGACCGGCAGAATTACAGTGGCTGCGATTGCCGACGCAATGCAGAGGGCCCCTGTGCATACTCGTCGCTCATGATCATTACCCAGCAAAAGGTGAAAACGCTCCATTTAATCGCATCACCCTGCTAAAACCTCCATTCACGCATGCATGCAGAGGTTTTACGTGAAATGCATAGGGCTTATCCCTGCCGCCGATTGTAGCTAAGTTGGGCATTCGGCGGAGAGCGAATGTCGGAAGTGTGAATCGGAAGTAATTCCTCTTTGCTCCAATGATAGGAAGTGTTTTGTTCACTCGAGTGTGAACAAAAAGTTTCTCGTTATTCGCGTGAAGGGAAGCGCTGTAAACGGGAACAAAAATGTTTAACGGAACCAAGAGTTACGCACGGCATAGCGGCAAGGGATCCCTTATGAAATAGGCTTGGGACTTCCAGGCCATTTCAGGACACTCATGGTCAGTGTGGAATGTGGATTCTCAAAAGCTGCTTAGGATCCCGGAGATCGGCGTGGGTCACCCCAAATATTTACATGTGGTGCTTTAGAGCTCACCGAGCCCGAGGTGGGGCCCTTACGAAGCCACAGCCAGTGTGGGCAGCGGGCGCTAAGAGACTAGGCCCAGGGTGAGCCTGGAGGCCTGGAATAACGTATGCACCATCGGGGTCTGTGTCAAATCCCCAAGGACCCTATGTAGGGACATAAGAAACATTTGTTGCGGCCCTCAGAGGGACACGTGAGTTGTGACCCCTCAGATGCCGGCTTGGGGTTAGCAAAGTCTATCTCCTCAAAAGTTCGGCTGAACTATCAGAGGCCAGTTAAGGTTCTCAGACATTTTCGAAGGCATCCTCAAAGATTCGTGTGGCCCTTCAGAGGTCTACGCATGTATAAATAAGGTCCTCAAAAATCACTGTATGGGCCCTCAGAGAACATGGACATCAGTGGAACTCTCAGAGGCCGGTTTGGGCCCTCTGAATACCTCTTAGAGCTCAGTGGAGCTCCTTAGGAGCCTGTAAGATAAGCAAGTTCATGAGCCCTGCGGCACTTGAACGGTGCTTAAGCCTGTCGCAGACATTTGACAAGAGTTGAGAAAGGCCCCGAAGATTTCGTGTCGCGCTTTGAACGAAAATTATGCGTCAGCAATCCAAAACTTATGAAAATCAGCTATAACATGTAATAAAGAACCAACTAGGAACATGGAATGAATCACAGCATTGACATTTCCGAGTCTGGAGTATTACTCCCAAATCAAAGGGGGGCTGCACGGTGCCCCGGTGCCATCCCCGTTCCGCCGCCTATGTCTGGAGTGGAGTCTTGAAGATTTTGGCGACTCTGACTCCGACTCTGGTTTGAACCGCACGCTCCAACCGGGTCTGACGTCACAGGCATTCTCAGAAAGGTACCCCCATTTTTTCCCGACTCCAAAATCTCATCGGATCTGTATCGATCTCAGGGGGTGCCCGGTCCGAGGTTGGGGGGGGGGCAAGCTGCCCCGCTTGCCCCCCCCCCCGTAGCGACGCTAATGCGGGCTGCTCCCTTGGAGCGGCACCGCTGCTCCCGAGGGAGCGCACCCCGTAGCCGGGTGCAGTGAGTACCTTGGGGCTGGCCGGCCTGTCCTTCGGGATGGGCTCAGCCCCGGTGACTCACTAGGGTGCCTGCCCAGACCAATGTCTCCCCCTAATTCCTATCATCCTTCCGGCTCTGAAATGGTCTAATTGGACCGAAAGGGCCTAACCCAACAAAACAAACAAACAAACAACTCCACAGTTATTCTCTGACTGAGCTACTTTTTATGCACCTTTTACATCCTAGAGAGAGAAAGAGAGACCACCATCTCCTCACCGGCCCTGAATATATGAGCAAGTAAATGCATATCAGGAACGGATTCTTCTATGCCATCAGCGTTGTGATCCGGTTGTAATACGCATTTACTTTGCTCATGTATCCCCGGTCAATATGTGACACTGCCTGACACGTGACGGCAACCAGTCGCAATTCAACACTCACCAGTCACCAGACCACATTAACGTCAACAACACACTTCCAGGGAGTCGACATAAAATCACCATATTGTCTACCATGGAGTGGTCAGTGTCCTCACGCCAGGGAAGCCCTTCCCACCAGTCCAACCGGTTTTAGTCAGGCGATAGCTGGACATGCGACAGCGCTAGTGGGCCTCTTTGAATTGCTAATAATGATTATTTATATTTTCTAGGATTATAGGATATGCATTTACATTGCACTGTGCGCACAACATGTGGATGTCTCACTCATAAAATGTTTGCTACGTGTACCTAAAGGCTGCATTGCTTCGGGTCTACCCTCACATTTACATAAATGTAATGCTTTATGAAAGTCGTAGGTATAGGTCGACTCTCGCCGGGCTAACGCAATCTTCCTAACGCTTCAGCCGGAGGGGCAACACTATGAGCAGGTATGACTTTCATCTCTCTCCGTTTTGTGTGCCTAGCAGAAAAATTCCGAGAGCTCTGCAGTTTGAGCGTCGTGAATGACGATACGTATTCTTTGATTTTTATTAAACCCAACTTATTTTTTATGTTCGACAGTCCACACATATCCAACACCTAATTTCTGGATATCCTCATTTCTGGATCGATCAAGCCCGACATCTCAAAGATGCCGAATACCACGTAGATTATACCACGGTCGGAAAAAAATGCATAACGTTTCTCAAAGCGACTATATTGTCATTCATATCAAACATAGAATAATACAAATTACGATACAGTTCGTATGCGCAGTGACTAAACAAATACAACTCAAACACAGGTTACAGTCACGTGACATAACATTGAGATCAAAGCGAGCATTCCTCTTCAATATACAAAGATACACAGTACACCAATACAGAGAGGACAAAACAAACGACATAAAAGCATAACCCACGGCCGATGTGCATCAGATGTAGGCTTAAATCGAGTTAAGCACAACTCTGATGTTGTAGACATTGGACAATAGTGAAGTCTGCTTTTCACATAGTATAAGATAAATTTATAATATTTTTCGTCCTCACTAGCCTTAAACTAGCCGATTTTGGCGATCATTTTCTTGGCACCTTGTAAAAAGCTTCGTTGAAATTTTAGGCATCACACGTGTTAACGAATAACTCTGATTCAAAGTTGGCATTTCACACTTTGATAATGTAAGGGCTCCGTGGAATATACAATGAAATTGTGTGGCTAATTCGTGCATGTATACAGACGTATCAATAATATGCATGCCAAATTAAATAAGACGTATGCTTAACCAGTTTCCGACATCACTTAAAAGTGCACAAGCTTTCGCTCTAGCTCTTTCAGCCACAAAATCACATGACGAATATGAAACATGAATATAAGTGCAAATGCAAATCTATGAAGTACGGACGTTTAGCCGGAGTTCTGGATCTAACCTTCACGTTGATCCAGAATCACTCCCACTGCTAACACTCATCGAAAAGTTGGCAGAGTCTCGCTTGCTCCCGCTGGTATTCAGCTGATTGATGACCCCGATGGACCGTGGACTGCGCATGCGTGGCATATCGCCAAGAGCATTTATCCTCTCGGCATCCTCATATAACCTCAGAGGGGAGGGAGGGGGAGGCAGCATCGACGGGGGAGGCGGCGGAAGATGATTCAACGCCGTCTCCGCAATCGTCGGCTCCGGCGGTGAAAACGCCGAATTCGCGGAGGGCATCTGAGCCCGCGGAGGCGGCGGCGACTCCCCGATCACCGTCGTCCTCAGGTCAAACGCCACCTTCGGCTCGGTGTTAGCGATCCGCCTGCCACCTGCCGACCGATTGCGGAAGCTGAAACTGCGCTGCGGTCCGTCGGCGGCGCGCGGGAGGGCCTCAAAGCTGTTGGCTCGACGTACTGGAGGAGGCGGGAGCTCCGCGCGAGCCATGTAGACGCTTTCAGGAGGAGGCCGGATGGCGTAACGATGGGGCAGCAGGGGCTGCCGTGATGCTCCGTGGCCGTCACAGGCAGCAGCACGACGCAGCTGAAACGAGAACAAAACGTAGTCAGGTAGGGTAGACCGGGGCAAGTCGCCCCGCCGAGGTAAAACGCCTCACCGATGTTTCTCGGAACTGGCAAGGTTCTGGGGAAACATCCTCTCTTCTATAAAACGTGCACTATACGATCATTATATGAGCAGACTGGAAATAAATTGTGATGACTCTTTAGGGAGATATAACCAAAAATGTGTTTTTGGAGTGATTTTTATGTTTTGTTGTCAGATTATGCATCATGGCGTTCTTTTATCGTCCACATCAGGTTAACGACTTTTACGTATTTTGAACAACTATTGTCTAACGCTTAAAATGCCGGGTTGGTTCGTGTTAAATTATGTCTTCCTGGAGTGCAAGGCGTTGTTCTCTGACCGAACTACGTGATGGGGTAAAACGCCCCAGTAGGTCGCGGGGCAAAAAGCCCCATGGGGCGTTTTACCTCATGTGTTGTTCGGACTACCCACTTCCTAATGTTCGGTAGCTGGCGAACGGTATGTTTCTATGCATTTATATTTACTTTTCTCAGCAACTGGATGGCAAAGGAAGTATTTTGTTAACATTTGCATTGCAATGATTAATTATTTGGCCTTATGAGGCAGGTGAAAAACCTGCTCATACAATAGTGTCGTAGCTGAACACCTGATAGGATGGAAGGTGCTAACTTCAGTGCCATGCCTCCCAAGGTCTAACGGACCTTTCATATAAGATTTAGTCAACTAGCATGTTTAATCTTTAATCTAGAGTATGGGGCTTCTTGCCCCAGGCCGTGGGGCGTTTTGCCCTGGGGTTGGGGCAAAACGCCCTATTTGCAGTTGCTTCACAAACCACTTCCTAGCTGGGAGTCCGATCATAAGTGAATGAATTTGAGGGGTGGAATTTAAAGTAAAATGTCCAAAGAACGCATTGAGCACAAATTTGGCCTTCCAGGTTATGTGGGACAAAAGTTATGTAGCAAAATAAATTATCTGGGGCGTCTTGCCCCAGGCTACCCTACCTACTTCGGCATGATGCTGAGCAACGATCAGCGCAAGATCAAGAAAAAGACTCATGAAATCGTTACGAATGATGGGTTAATGACGTTGACGACTGTATTTCTAAGCCTGACTGTTTCCGTTGGTATATTGTCGAGGTTTGTCATAATTAACCCGCGCACCGACGGGGGTCTGCGCCAACTTAGTACCGACGGGGGGGGGGGGCGGATGACCGCCCCCCCCCTGAGATCTCGAGAACGAAGCAAGATAGCGACAAGCGGTAAACGGCATCGGATACGCACGGTCAAGATGTACAATTTTTACTAAGGTCATTTTCAGGTCAGGTCAAAGATGACGTCACAGGGGTCGAAAAAGTCAAAATGGCGGCGCTAAATATGGAGAGAGTTTTTCTCGAATAACTTTCGAATTAGTCAAGATAGGAACAAACTAAGGGCATCATCGTGATCCTCTCGTCAATCCGCATCGAATGATATATATGTTGACCTCGAAAGGTCAAGGTCAAAGGTTGACCTCAGGTCACGTGACCTCGAGGTCATCATGTATATCATTCGATGCGTCTTGACGAGCTGAACACAATGAGACCATCCACGCGTCTGTATCTTCTTGTTCCTGTACGGAGTTATTGGCCAAAAACCTTTGGTGACCTTTGATGACGTCACATGACCTCACAGCTGCCCAACAGCAAAACAGACCTCAAGGTAGTGAAGGTTGATCGTATATGAAGTCATGTATGGTATATGGGGCCATTCCGACCCGTTTTAGTGGTAAAAACAGGGAGTTGATTTTTCCCCCATTGACTTATAATGGGGAGGTCGCGAAATTGACCTGACCTTAGGTCACCGATATCAAAATTCTGAGATATACAAATTGTAGCTACTAATGACCTAATAACATCCTGCGACTTTTAAAGGCCTCCGACATCTACTGTAGCTCTGGCACGGTGACAAAGTTGCAAAAAAGTGACTTGAGGTTGGGTCATTCAAAGTGACCTGGTGACCTGACCTTGAAAGGTAGGAGGTTCAAACTTGCACACCATGTGTAAAATTGATAAGGGAATAGTCATACCAAATTTCGCGCCGCGGTTTTCCCGCTATTCGCGAAAAACCTCAGGGGGGGGGGGGCGGATATCCGCCCCCCCCCGTCGGTGCGCGGGTTAAAGCGAACATCACAGACCACAAGCAAGCGAAGGACTTCTTCAATGACATCGAGGTCAACTCCAGGTCATAAAAAGAAAAAAATAAGCCTGTACTGAAGAGACTGATCTCAGTAGCTCCTCGTTTTTAAACGGCATTCTCGTCAGTTGTCCATACCCCAGTGGAGCATGCGTAACTACACTGTTTCGTTGTGCTCACCTGTTGCTGGCTTTTGTAGAGAGAGGCATACTCTCCATCCTCCGGCTGATGGTACATCGGAGACCGCTCTCGACCGTCCTCGGTAGGTACGGCCTGGTATCCTCCGCATCTGAGGGAAGAGACGAAAAGAACGTCAGATCAACCGTTCGGCGAACACGAGAGATAGAGGGGACGCACAGAGACGACCGTAGATGTCATCAGGCTGCCATAGGAAAAGCTAACATCTCACAAAGGTAGCGAGATGACTGATGAAATGGACAGACTTGTGACTGAGACCAAACGGGTAACCTGAACATTGTGTCGAGTGTATTACGCACGTTTAGCATTTGACGTTTCGTTCATTGGTATTTATTTGCGTAGGTACCGTTAGCTGAGAAGGGCCACCTTTTTGAAGAAAGTACATCCTTCCTTAAGAGAAAGGTTCCTCTAAGTAATCGCCCAGGAGCTCATCCCATTAACTCACCTCCTGAAGGATCCTTCTCGCTCGAAGGTGACCCGCGATCGCCGCTGCTGCGGGTGACGCGGTAGCTGGACGTATCGTTCCTCTTCTTCCTCCTCAGCTTCACGAGCCTGTCGCCTCGCTGCCGCACTCTGACGTCCGGACGCTGCATGTAGCGGCGCCATCGGCACCGCCTTCGATGGTCCACATTTTCGCGTGGCGACGCCCAAGATCAGATTCTGCGCCATGGGTTCGGTAACGGAAAACGCTCCACTGTTGCCAACCACGAGAAGTGGCGTGGTTTCGCCACGCTCACGACGAAGTGCTACCTCATGTACGAGGTGAACATGAGGAGCATCAGGTACGGCGACTCGTGCAGCTTCTACCTTCAGCTTGAATTGCCAGCGGTGACGAAGAGTCAACGCCAGCCATAGCAGAACCCAGAGGAAGTGATGTGCGATGGCTCCAATGACTGCCACAAGACAGGCGGGGTCGAGGGATGCACGATAGACAGCGCTAAGCTCGTACAAAAGCGGTCCATCGGCTACTCCCACAGCTAGCAGAAGACACAGCGCTGCACTGTGTGAGAAGTATCCCCAGAGACGACAGCGCGACTCCGCCAGTTCGGGAAGTTCGCGACGGTAGGTGGCCACGAAGGCTGCCAGTTTCTGGAATCCGTAGAGGTAGACTGTGGCGCCGGATATGAGCACCAACACGCTTGAGAGACCGAAGAGTAGAGCTGTAAGCGGAGCGTTCAGCAACAGGGGGTCTGGTAGACGTAGCAGTTCGGCTCCGCCATATACGTGGATCTTGTATAGCACAGAGAACCCACACAGCGACAGCAGCAGGTGTGCTCCGCTCAGCAGCAACTGTGCCGAGAACACAGCTGCCAGAGCACGCTGGGTGTCCCAGAACACAGCTGCGTATCGGATGGCGAGCACGAGAAGAGCACCGGCGAGATGCAGCGTCTGGGGACTGACCAGGAGGGTGGCGGGCTGGCGCACGTATCCGCTCACAGGGTCGAGAACGAGGGCTGGCGGCGGCGCTGTGGCCACGACGGTCATGTTAGCTCGTTCGGCGCCGAACTGAAGAGGTAGAACGCGAGTCTGAAGGTCCAGAAAAGCGTCGAGATCGGAGCGCCATACGAGATCTGAAACAAACGGAGAGATAAGTCAGAGACGCCGAACGAGTACCGACAACGGAAAGGTGACAACGACTAGAGGCCAGAGAGGTCACATGTTTTGCGTCGTAGTTACTTTGTGCAATGAAAATTAGCGAGGAATATGCAACAGGCAACGAGTTGCGGGTACCAGGTGTCATGAGATTAGCAGCATACATGAGGTCGTCTGTGTCAATAAACCATGTTTGACAAGATTGCATCGATGCGGGTGACAATCAATAATGAATTCACCGCCTTGAATGGCGCTGCATCCTCCGTTCTGTTCACTATATTTATCAACTCAAAACAGCCTCATTCACCAGTTCAACAACTCAACTATATCGCTTACCATCTAACCAGTTCTCACCACCCCGCTCACCCCACCAACTCACCAGGCGGTAAGAATCCATTTCCGATGAGTCTTGCTTCCATGATCACTTCAGCGCAGCAGAGGAGGCCGGCCATCAGCACATGAAGTAGCGGAGCAGTCGGAGGTCCATGACGCCACATGTTTTTCAGAGCCCCAGGCCTCGGAGAAGGCAGTGCTTGCTCTCGGACTCGTGGCGAGCCAAACCGAGCGCCATCGTTTGCTCGATTTCCAACTCGAAGACATGAAGCCAGAAGAAACAACGGTGCGATTGAGAGCGACACAGCCACCATGCCGACATAGGCAGCCAGCTCCGGAGGCGGACTCTGCCAGGGCAGCTGAAGGTAGGCACGGTAGGCCTGCAGAGCACGGCAGGCGAGTGCTACGTGGACGCAGCATGTGAAGATGCCGTACCAGCACGACCAGAGGGAGTTGGCCCGCAGTCGGCGACGGCGGCGACCAGGTTCCTCCGGCAGGGGCCGTTCGGGCAGGTCCGCGCGCTGTAGTCGCTTCTCCTCCTGGAAGAAAGAAAAGAATACGGTTAAAGCTGAACAATGAGTGGGAAAGGTGAGCAGAGGGTCTTTCCAGGGGCTGCGATTCGATGGGTCACTGAAAGAGACCGCGTTGTGAGAGGGTCAGTAAGAGAGAAAACTGAGTTTTAATACTGACAGAGGCGGAGCAGGGTAAAACGCGAGCTTGCGGAAGGGCCACGGTCAACGACAGCCATTTACAAGCACGCGGCAGTGGACACATGATGGAAGACGGAAGTACAGTGTACAGTCGACGCAAGTTCGCATTTCACCCGTATGAGCTATCTATGTGAAAAGGTTCGGATATTCCCCGATAGGTAGAGTTGTATATGAGCTGCGCTTTGTTATTTAGGGTTATTCTTCTCATTTGCAACCGCAGGGATATGAAGGATCTAGCGAAGCTCACGGCAATTATTGGAGGATACAGAAGATGAATGGTTTTAATTTGGTTTTAATTTGCCCTCTCTGAAACGCTGCCTTTAATATCTTTCTAGTCGTTAGACATAAGAATAGCCTAATTAAACTTCAGATTTTCGGCACAGGATAAGCTAAACGTATGGAAAGTCGGGTATGGGTGAGATAACAAATGGCTTCAAAGAAGCCATTTGTTGGCGGCGCGCACTTGTTCATTTCCGCATCCTTGTTAAATAGGAATAAGAGCGAATTAAAATCTGGAAAATAACAATTTCCTGGCAAAAAGTAAGCAAACGGTGTATGACAGCAGGTCGAGAACTATGGATTGCCTCATGCCCAATGTTCGTACTAAGCTGAATGTAACGACCTAGGTGACCGGCAAAAGCATTATAAATAATGTTTCGCTGAACAGGGAACAAGAAAAAAATCATTCAAGGATGACGAAAATGTGGCCTCTCTTGTTAGTGAAGCTGCAGTCACCAGTCACCATGAACAGTGATAAACAGAGGACAGTTTCTGACGACATTGCCCCATGTTCTCTCATGATTTGCATGCCGCGTAAAAAACTGCATGGATGACCGAAGTGCACCCTCTGGCCTCTCCCCTCCCCTCCCAACCATTTCCGGCCCCCGTCTCGACTGGCTGGGAAGGTCAGCGTCATTAAGGACACAACAACAGCCAAGTCTCGGCTTAACAATGCCCTCTGTGACCTTATCATGGGCCTGATGGCTTGATAGCAGTGCCCACCGGAGCGTAGAATCTGTGGCGGCGCGCACGTAGCTAGATTTATGACAACGGTTATGAGTGAAGTTTTCACTGGACATGCTTGGTGTCCTCCATGGTAAATGACAATTTGGCACGCATACACACTACGCAGTGATGGATGCATTTCCCGTATATGGAAAACGACAAACTGCTATTGGTTCTCTTTCATGAAAGCGATCTTTTCAGTGATTGATGTTTTCATATTTTGAGTTAAAGGCAACCATTATTTCATCAAGCCTTGAAAGGACTTCATAGGGCATAAAATTCATAGGTATAAAACAAGCAAAGCGAAAAGGCCATTACTTTCTCTTTGCATCTATTCTTCTAGTTGTTATGACACCGACGTGACTCAAGGCAAAAATAGATGGGGCTTGCTGAACATTTTTTTTCAAGATAATACATTACATGTTGCTATGTTATCTGAATGTTTTATTGTTTACGCCGTTATGTATACAAGCGTCCTTGTGGCTTGTATAGGGTATGCCGCCAAATTCATAGCAGGAATTACATAGTAGACGTAACGATAAATATTGTGACGTAAATCCGTGAGAAACTCAGAGGTCTTATCGTGCTTCCTATGCAAATGACTTGCGAAAAATTCATACGAGACATTATCGCGTGTTTCTCTGTTTACAGCCATGAGCAAATCGCGTAATATCCTCTAAACCTTTCCCATGGTCATATCTCGCTACGCCTACTCAGATGCTTATAAAATCCCCAGAAAAATAATCATGTGTAGAAGTACTATCGATTTACGAGGGAGACGTGAAGTCAGCGAGTCAAACATGTCTTACAGCTAATGATTATTTGTAATGCATTTTATTGATGCAATATGGAAGAACTATTGAAGCGCATCCTGCAAAAAGCTAACATAACATAGTATGACGTGATTTATGTCTGCATTCATCTGACCGCGCTCTCCTTGCATTTTTTATGCAAATGCCAAGCATGGAAAGTAATTATCACATCCGGCACTCCAAAACAACAGCACGTTGACAAGTCATGCACTATTTGTCGCATGGCGCTCCCGAATTCCATTCTGGAGCGCCACCTCACTTCAGTCCCCGGCCGCCGCTCAGTGGGGGGCCATTTTCCGTGGGGTGAACAAACGCCCGTCCCTGGCTGCCGGTACCTTTGGCGGCAGGTGACAGCCGCCCCACAGAACCCGACAAACATCCTATCCTACCAGCATAAGGCAGCGCGTTCCAACGTTCGCCCTCCGTCCCTTTTACCGCCCGGCCGGCCGGCCGGCTGCAGAGCCACGTCGGCAGAGGGGTGGGGAGAAAGAGGGGAAGAGGGCAGGAGGACAGAGAGGGGAGGGAGGACGGGGTGCACAACTGGCGACGCGTGTCCTCCCCTCCCCTCCCCTCCACGCGGCACCTGGCTAGCCCGGGGCGTTTCCAATCAATCCCCGGTCGTCTGAAGAGGCCACGAAGGGAGAGGGGGAGGGTAACCGCCACCTGCCTTCTACCAGCGTGCTCTGACCGATAAACGCCGTGAAACAGATGGGGAACGGATGCGGCTTCAGAGTTCTGCTGGTGGCCCCGGGAGAGGGGAGGGGGAGGGTGGCGACAGCTGTCCCAAGGATTAATGCATCAAGAATGACGTCGGCATCGGGTTTTGTTTCACGTAAACATGTCGATGAGATGCAAGCTACATGCGGTGAAAGGCGCTTGTCATCAGCAAGAATTGTTTGCTGATAGGCGGTGATAAATAACGCATATATAGTGAAAAGAGAAGTAAATAAGATTCGGTGACTTTGATGTTAAAGTGGTGTTGTCAATTTAAAAGAGGCACGAGATGTGAGGCCGTGCATGAGGCAAAAACTGTCATTCTATATGCTTGTTTAAAACGAGCATCAATAAGTTTGAAAACATTAGGCACCAAGGTCGCTTCTTATATAAGCGAACTCTAATAAAATACACAGCTAAATAATAACGCTTCCAAACACTCTTTAACCCCTCATTTTAGGAGTTATGTTATGAAAAAGCATAAAACCATTGCAATTCACATAATAGGGTGTCATGACTTGATCGGTAACTACGGGAAGTAACATAGAGTTGTAGTTGCATGTTTCTGTCACATTTACTACCATGTAGAGTCAAACGGGGCGTACACGCCTTTCCTGGCGCCTGACGTGCATGGCTTGAAAACAAATGACTCTGTCGCATGCTAAGGCACTGAAGCATTCTCGGTACGCTATGTTTCCCCAAAATGGAGCAGGAAACTAGCATAGGAACCTACGAACCGGCATACTTGAGTTCTGAGGTCAAGTACTGAATAAAACATGTTAGAAACTCCTAACCATGACGCAACTAAAACAAAAATACAAACTTCCTCGGAAGTTCTCTATTACGTGTCTTGCGCACAGCTTTGCCTAACTCATACGAGTATATTTCATCATCGGACCGCTAAACATCGTCAGAAACATTCTGCGCTGTGAAACTTCACTCTACACCTGATCGAAATCCCTAGCCTCGAGGGAGTAAACGAACGGAAGGCTCTTCGTGACCCTCTGAGGACCCCTTGACACGCTGTCAGGGGCCTATCTTGAGCTGTAATCTACAAACTGCGACGTACGAAGTGCAGACTAGCCTGGGTTGACCCTATCACCCCTCCTTTTCTGCGCTCAGGACGGTCATCCTAGCATGTTTCATCAGTTTACGCCTTTGGCAGTCGGTTGACCTCTCAGAAATTAACAAAGCATGCCTCCGGGACTCAACATACGCTTCGCGTGGTGTTAGAAATTAAATTCAGACGAAAATCGCTTCCGTTTACTGCCGCAAAGAATCAGCTCTCGGTCGTCACAGCTAGCGACCACCGTGACAACCACTGCTGAGAGCCCGAGGAAGCATTAGTGGTGACAAATCCTCCACTTCCGGCTCTTCGCGGATCATTCCGCGAGTTTCGCACGTTGTCTGAGATTTTCACCCCCTTCCCCAATGCAGACAGCTGTGACAGCTGCTCGTTTTGCAGCGCAGCTGTCGCAACTGCTAACCAGGCTTCCATGCAGCTGTCGTGGACATAAAGAAGCCACGCGAGAACACGAGTATAAAAGTTGGCAGACGAGGAGCGTTGTCATGCAACGCTAAACGCGCCTTTGACTATGTCCTTATCGGGGTCATTAACAACATGGAACAGATAGGCAGCTAAACGAAGTGAATGATTTATATGGGACTTATTTGCCGCTCTTTAAGCGAAATCTGTAAAACGCGAAGGGACAGCGTAGTTACGCCATGCCTGCGTCGACGGCTGAAATTAAACCGTAAAATAGTCGTGTAGTTCATGTTTATGAGCTTGCTTAGCGAGCACTTGGATGATTGACAGGCCGTTCGCATGCGTAAAGAGAAGTCAGCTTAGCAATTTTCTTCACTTTTTACGTTTGATTAAAGTAGGTACGCGGATTTCGGTTTTGCCATGAGGCAATCTATAAACCATGGCATAAACGACTTACCAACAATTATCAAAGCCATTTCTATGGAAACAGAAAACGCAAACAGCCAATAAGATCGTAAAGCGTGTTCATGAGGCGAGCAAGAGTCATCTTTAGACTTTACCTCGGAGAAAGTTTGTTGCACCTTCATAAAAACTCCTCCAACATATGGCGGTCATTTGGTAGCACATTAGCAAGGCAGCTGACGACACACGCGGCACATCCGGCGCAGAAACTTCGCCACCCTCATCGCCTGGCAAAAACCCCCTCGCGCAGGAGGGTCGCGCCTTCACGAGCACTCACCATCTGTAGTGCGGAGAGGGGGCGGACGGGGCCGCTGGAGACTCTGGGGAGACGCTGGCCTTTTTACCGGCACCTGAAACAGAGACGAAGCGCACGTGTCAGGGTTGGAGTCGCCCCAGAGATGGGAGTGACAGGTGGGCGGCGACTGCGCGAAGAACAGAACGCAGTCTTGTGCGCTCATTATGGCAGGGCGGGCTGGTGGCGGATGTGGCGCAGACGGCTGTCAGTGTGGCGCAGGGGACGGGGACGTGAGAGATGATCGGCGGACAGAGGAAGTGATGCTGATGGAAATGGTGTTGCTGGAATGTGAGGGTGATACTGATAAGTGATAATAAACACATGGGTTAACGTTGTCGTGGCACATGATATGATGGCTGCAGACCGTGAATAATGACACAAATATGTACGCTTCCGAAATTCCAATGCCAATATCTATCAACTATCATTTATAACTATCAAACTGCACAATAGAAGGTAACCGTCAAAATGAAGAAAAAACTGGCAAGGTCTTGTCATTACATGGTTGACAGGTAACCAACCGCAAAACCTCACGTCTAGCCGGCCCTTAAAACGTTCAACTCCCATGGCACAACATCCTTTTGCTGGCTGTAAATGGCAGCGTCGTTTTTTCTGCCATTGTTCCCCGTTTTAATTAGTCCCTTGTTTCCCGCTGCTGAGTCTTTATCACGTGACGTGACAGTCGGCCATCTTGCAGTGACCTAAAGCTAACTTATCTGCTTCATGACCCACACTCACATGCATCGGATTTGTCTTCAGAGGAGATTAGAAAGCCCATTGTCCGTCTGTCTCCTACATGAGATTTGCGTGTGGCACGTCGTTTCGCCCTATGCGTTGGCCGCTAACTTTTGCAACATGTCGGTCACATTTGCTGCTGCCATATGCAACTAAGGCTCTCACCCAAAACTCCGTGAGAAGAGGTCACCCGAGTGTATAGTTAAGCCGGCGCCTTTGACCTCTTGCGAGTCTACATGCGGCAGGGAGGCCCTAGCAAATTCACACTATCGAGTGCGCTGGCCTGTTTCGTCAGAGAGCGATCGCCGTTCACTTTACTGCTTACAGACTTTAGGATGTTTTCAAGTGTATCTTGGTAGACAGTTTAGGTTTTAGGTATGTGTGTCAGCTGAATTCAGCTGGAATGGGCAGGTTCCTGGTTCATTGGAGAGAAACCTTAAACTTCGTTTACTTTTGAGTTAGTCGATTCAGAAAAGTGGACCCCCCCCCTACGAACTCCCGTCGTGCGTTGGTGTGTCCACTGTCCAAAGAGCCGACGGTCCAAGCCGGAGGGGGGCTCACCTCCCCCTCGGGAGGTCACAGACTGACTCAGGGCCGTTGAGACCAGCCGCAGGTTAATGGTTCGGAAACCGTCCAAATGGCTCCTCTCTGTCACCACAATGGGGTGGAAGCTACGAGCCAGACCCCAGTGGCGAAAAACGCGGCCACAGCGATACCCTTTGTTCAGATAAGTAGCTGGAGATTTTAAAGTTGTTTGTCGCGGTTTTGGGTGAGGCGAGAACGGGTCATTATGCGCAAAGAATTCAGTGCTCGATGGTGCAATTTATTGCACACGGAGTAGACTTGAAAAATCGTGCTCGAGTGCACCATTCAACACGGGTTCATGCCTGCAAAGTGCAAAGTTCATTGTTTTTTTGTTTTTTTTTTTGTTAACCTTGATAACAACACAAGTCCCATGCTTATGAATGGAATCACAAACAATGAACACACTCTCTCTCTCTCTCTCTCTCTCTCTCTCTCTCTCTCTCTCTCTCTCTCTCTCTCTCTCTCTCTCTCTCTCTCTCTCTCTCTCTCTCTCTCTCTTTCAATCGCACAAATATAATCAAACAAACAAACATTAATTAATGACGTCGTCAATAAATCAGTGACAGATTTATCACCATTTGTCCTTATCACTCTAATCTTCAGTCCGAGCCGGTCGGCGGCGGCGGCAGCTGCCGTCCATGTTCAGAGACGGGCCGCCGCCGGCGCCGCCCGCATCTCTCCCCCCCCCCCCCTCGACCGGTAGGCAGGTGGGATCCCACCAATCAGAGGCGGCCGAGGTTGGAGCGGCAGCTGCCGGCTATCGCGACGGTCGGCGCCGACCCGCTCGCGCACATGCCACTGAAGAATGCGGCCAAACAAGCCTTGACTAGGGAGAGTTGGACGGGCGACGGAGGCTGATTCGTCGTGAGCACTAAACCAAGGTGGTCTTCGTGCGCAATTCTTTGATCATCTGAATGAAAGATGACCATGTTCTGTCTTAGATTCAAAGGAGGTGTGGCATCACGTCAAAGTGCTGATGTTTCGGTGGTGTTCTAAAGACAAGCGCAGGACGTGCCTGAGTAACCTTGTGGCATTGCCAAAACACGCTATCTTCACGTCATCCACCGAAATCTATACCACGTGATCCCAGAAAATCCGTGCCAAACATACCACGTAACACTGGCGTTATCACGTGATCTCGTGTTTGGGAACAATCGCCGAAGCTTCTGAAGTTTGGGGTGGGGGAGTATCATCTACTGCCAGCGAAGTATCATCTACCTGAAGCGTACGGGCTTCGGGTTCCGTTGGTGGACTCAAGCATTTGACGCACGTTTTGACCGCATAACGGAATACGAGACATTAATGATGCCTTGCATCATACTTTTCCATGCCTCTTCGTGTCCATCATTCGTTCGCCCTGCCCATGTTGCCCTTCACGCCTTTTGAACTCGTGACGTCACATTCGCGCGCTTTTTTGCCGCGACAAGTGCCGACTGCCGGGCGCCGCCGGAAGGCAGTCAGTGCATGACAGCGGCGAATTGGTGCACCGTGATTAGTGAGATAATTAGTGCACAAAGGGCCGCCCGACGTCAAGGCCAGGCCCGTTTCATGACTCTCGTGGAGGGGAAGAAGAGTGGGGGGAGGGGAGGAAGAATGGGGAGGGGAGAGCCTCCGTCATGGGACTGGAAGGGAAGTTGAAGTGAAGATGTCTCACTGTGTGAAAATGGTGCAAGTTGCAACGTAACGTCACGCCTATACCGAGAAGTGCACTCTGAGAACGACGTTGGCTTTCAGGGAATGGAAGCCGTAACGGTTGACGTTACAACGCTCAGTGGCCTGGGACGTCTCCGCTCCGATGGTTTAGAATCGCATACTGGGACTAGCTAAAGGCTGAGTAAAGTTGTCGCTCGCGAACAGGCCGTGTAACGTATTGAGCCCAGTGACAGACCAGTAGCCAAAGACGTATGTAGCTGTCGACACAGAGCCGTGGGAGTGTGCCGGGCTGGCCAGAGTAAATCCCTCACAACTGAAGGCCGGTAAATATCAGAGGTTACCGGTAGACAGCAGAGAGTTATTTTCAGTGGACGGCTGGTATCAGTAAATAGACGCCGGACGCTACTGCCAGCGGCAGCGCTGATGCTTCAGGAATCATGTCTTGGGCACAGCTGAGAGATCCTGGATCCAGGATCCTGTTGGGCTTCTGTTGTCTAAGGAAGCCTATTCCGAAATAGCCCACTGATGTCTGACGAAAACCGGCCGCCTAACGCAACCCTATCTTTTAGCGAAACATGAAACGGACTTGATAAGAAAGCGGCTAGTCGAAACTGAAACTTGAAACTGTGCCTATGCAGTCTGAGGGACCCTCAGAAGAAGACCATGGGGATGAGCCTGAGGGACCTTGGGGACACCCCTTACATTCCTACACCACTGTACTGTTTGAGGGACTCCCTGACGAGCCCTGGTCACCCCTTCACCCCTGTCCCTGGATCCGCCATTGCCACAGCGTCGCCACGTGGCTAAGCATGGCACTGAGAAGCGAGCACCGCCTCAGGCGCCGTCTGAAGCTGCAGCAGCCGCGAGCCGCTCCGCCGAGAGATTTATATACCGTAGCCGGCCGCCGAGAGATTTATACACCGTACTGAGCTCAACGCCAATGAATAGCCGCTCTCATGACATGAGGCAGCTAACCACTAGAAAGTGCAGTCGATTATGACAGGCTAGTAACAGGGCAGCCATCCAAAAGCCAACAGTGACCGGTTATGGTGCGCTTAGTGAGGCTGTTAAATCGGTTTGAATGGAGGCGATTGTACAAAAATGCTGAAGATGTAAATAGCGATGAAGGTTTACAAGCTATCGAAAATTGCCAGCTGAAACAGTCTTTGGGTTGTCGCAGGTAACATGAAAGCTTCATGTATTATTTAGATGACGCTACTGATCACAAACATTAAAGGACATTGTAAGTATGTGTGCAATGGCATTGATCTTCGAGACTTTTCGGCCATTCTGTCACTGGGTTTTATTCACCGAAAACGGCAAATAAAGTCATGGTGACCTCGTCCGTGTGACGACATTGCGCAAAAACATGCAGCAAAAACTACCGAAAAAAGCCTCAATAACGATATCTAATGACATTTGAGCATCGGTTATAATTGGGGACTATCTCTGTGATCTTTTTCTAGTGCCCGGATTCCGGCTGACCCGGAGCCCCGCTCCAATCCGGGGACCGGGCCGGTCTCCGGACCGGTCCGGCAGGTGATCGAGGACCAGCTGAGAGAGAAACGGTCCCCGGACCATCTCTCCGTCTCCGGGGAGTTTGAGATGTCGCAGCAGGGGTAGGGAGCGGCAGGGGGTGGCAGGCATGCGCCTCCCGCTTTGGTGACCCAAAAATACAGGGAACCCTTGAGATCTATTGCAATTTTCAACCCAAAAACATGACTTGCAATTCATCCTAAAAGAACCGTTACCCAATTCTGACCCAGCTAGAGCTCGGTTACGGGTCATCCCAGTCCGTATGTCTGTTTCTGTAGATCCTCAACCCCTCCCTGTTGTACACCCACCAAAGCCTCCCCGTAGACTAATCACCCTGAACTTTCCGTTCCCCTCCCCATCGACCCATCACCCTCCCCTTCCCCACCCCCACAGACCCGTCACCCTCAGCCGCCGCAGGAAGCGGACCGTACCCGACCCAGTGTGAAAGGAGGTTCCGATCAGGAGGGGACCAGCCCGGGCGGCGCGGCGCGGCGGGGCGAGCTTCTTTTGTCAGTGTGAAAAGGTGGGGAGACCAGAGAAGAGGGG